GGTGAAAAGTTCTGGGTTTTCGTCCATTTCACTTCTGGACTACAGTCCTGTTCCAGAACCTGAGTGTTGCGTGTGCATCCGTTTTACATTTCTGACTAATTTGTATGCAGATTGCTGGTTACTTGTTTCTCAGGCAGACGAACTCTGACTTGGAAGAAAGCTCACAATTTGTCGACTTTTACGACATGCTTTTGGGTAAGAAGTGGGTCTATTCTTGTCTTTCCCTGTAAGGTCCCTGAACCCACACGGATATGACCAAAAGATGATTTGTGATTTGGTGATTTGTGTTGTTCCAAATTTTGTTTTGATATTTGATTATGATAGAAATTGTACTATAAATCAAGTTAATAATGGAAAATGAAGCAGGTCGCGCGACGGCAGAGTAAACCACCTACCAGTGTACTATCTGTGACCGCGGCGTGGCCACCTATGTTTGGTTTATTCAACGGATCAACATCATGGCGCAAGGGTAGTAACCCATAAGTGCTTTGTTCCACTTTTATTTAAAGCGTGAGTCTGAAGAATCTCAGCGCAGTGTACGAACTCCTTAGCACTGGCGAGGATCCTGAAATACTTTGGGTAGATTTTTAACTGCAAATTATGCCTGGGCAGCGCCGTTAAGCTACTCTTTTCGATTTTCAACTGCCAAGGGATTGTTTACGCGCGGAACAATAAAATGGGCGTTCGATCTTAGTACCCAGAGACCAGGGATAATTACTAGAGATCCAAGTGGGGAAAAAAATCCAACCCTTCGCCGGGGCCTAAACCTTGGACCTCCAGCACTCGAGACCACTCAGTCACCTAAAAATGAAAGTAGAGACAAGGCACTTGGAATTTCTGTTCTTCTAAGCCTTTGTCATCATAGAGACATTAAGCTACCAGTACCAAACATGGACACTATCTAAAGCCCATATACACAAAATCACTACCTGCAAGATGAGATGCCTGGGAAAAGCAGCCAACCTAACCATCCGAGATCGAGTGAATAATGAAACTATAAGGCAAATTGTGGGAACGACACCTTGTACTAGATTCATCGAGAAACAGCAGATCAAGTGGTTTGGTCATCTCGTAAGAATGCAGCAAGATTAAATACCATCACAAGCACTACATCTCAGATCAGCTTCAAGAGCAAGAAAGAGGAGGGCCACGGAAAAATGGATCGACAACATTAAAGACACTACACCTTCAAGGCATGACAATAGCCAGTGGCAGCCAACGTGCACTGAATCGTAAATTATTCCTCCTCGTGTCGTTTAACGACGCGCGCCGTGGATCGGACGGTCGTGGGTTCGCTCCCTGGCGGAGCAGGACTTTTCTCCCAGGTCGCCCCAGCCGTGAGTGGGTACCGGGTGCAGTCCCGGGAAGTAGAAGCGGCTGGCGTGATGCTGACCACATCACCCATCTTGTGCCGTTGGTCTATAAAAATATAGGTCTAGCCCTATATGCCTAAAGGCGTGGAACAGGGTCCTTTACATATGTCGTTTAACGGCAGAAGTGTTTTATGATGATGATGGTTAGCCTTTGACAGACGGCATCTAGTCAGTCCCCAGTCGATGCAAACAGAAATGTTATGGCCGACAGCACGGACGTTTGGATATCGAGTTAGTGTTTCAAATATCCGTTGTCTGTCAGCCTGCTTTTCTCTGACTATTAGTTACTACTATCGTCGTTCCTATGTGGGATGCAATTTTTAGTGTTTTGAAGCCCCACCCTGGCTTTTTGCCGGGGGCCATAAATAAAACCGGGCCTTAGATATGGCATTTTGCACATTCTCAAGTCGTTCAATCTGAGTATGTCCAGTGAGGATGGCTAGAGCATATTCGATGGGACAAAGTAAAAGTCCCTAAAACAGAAGAGGTCTCTGCTCAGCACTAGCGGCGGCCAGAACCCTAATTGCTGACAGGCATTAGCGTGCTTTTGTGAGTGTTACGTTACTTTGATATGAAGAAAAGATATAAACCCGAACGGAAAGTATATTAGCAAGCTTCACAATATGACAAATACAAACAAAACGTGAACGTTGCGGCTATTGAGCCTTTATCAGCACATACACATTAAACAATACTACATAGATACACAAAATCACTTAGCTGGTATCTCGATGCGGCCAGCTCGGTCGTTACTCAGCAGAATGACCGTACAGCATCACTTGCAGAGTATCCAAACACCACTTAGACTCAGGTTTTCACCGACGGCTCTGCTATAGATGCAGTCAGAAAGGGGGGTTTTGGAATATACATTAAACCCCTAGCAGTAGAGCAGAAACTCTCTCTCTACCAGCAGGTGACATCTGCACTAACTTCAGAGCTGAGGCAACTGCCCTCCTTTCTGCAGTCCAGCATCTCATCACTCAAGAACACAGAGGGCACAAAATTGTTATACTTAGTGACTCATCGTCTGTTCTCCAAGCACTATCAAGCAAAAAAAAAAACAAGACAAACTAATTGCAGATCTAAGGACCAACATTGACTTACTCTCCAAGGAAGCAGAACTGGTCTTGCAGTGGATACCAGCCCACTGTGGTATTCAAGGAAATGAGAGAGCAGATGAGTTGGCAAAAGCTTGGAGTAATCTTCCACAACCTCACACAGCTATAAAAAAAACCAAAACAGCGCTAAAGCAGTTTTTCAAGCGGGAGTGGAGAAAGCAGAATAGAGATTACAGACCAGTGAGTGACAGCATAAACAAACTCAGCAGGAAAGAACAAACATCAATTTTTAGACTTCGGACTGGACACTGTGGTCTTCGAGCACACCTGTACATGATAGGCATAAAAGAATTTGCTGCCTGCGATTATGGAGCAGAAAGACAGACCCCTGAGCACATACTGCAGTACTGCCATTACCTCTCCCAGCAAAGACTGTGGATCTGGCCCACGGGATCCACATTGCCAGAGAAGCTATGGGGGACCGGTGGCGACCTTAAACGCACAATCCTATTTTTGACCCAGACGAGACTCAATGTGTAGCATGACTGATGTCGAACGCAGAAGAAAAAAAAAACGCACGTGTAAGCTGGGCAAATAAATAACCCCAACCCCCCCCCCCCCCCCCCCCCCGAGTATGTAGGGTAACTACCCCGAGTTCGCATCGACTTAGGCGACATGTTGTACATAAATTATCAAATATGCGTTCACACATTTCATGTATACCATTACAGTTTTTTTTAGCGCATGTTTAAAAACTATTTTACGATCACTACACAATGGGCTATATATGCAGAAGTGATCTCTCTCCTGTGGGACAAAGCTAACTAGTGAATAGGAGATACTGAATACCGGTACCCGCAGTAATGATGCAGCAAAGAATGTCTGAACGGGGCACAACTCGAGCCAAGTCATTTACCAGATGACAGTGGGCGCTGTCTGTGTGGAAACACTATGCTGGCTAGTGAAGGAAGAGATAGGGGCTTATCCTTCTTCTTCGCGTTCACCAGCTGTAAACTATGGCGGAAGATTGCTTGTCCACTACTGAACTGCAGTCCTGCTCCAGAACCTGAGTGTTGCGTGTGCATCAGTTTTACAGATCACATTCTCTTGAATACAGACTGTTGGTTCCTTGCCTCTCCGACTTCAAAGGAAGCTCCTCAATTAGTCAACTCCTATGACATGCTTTTGGGGAGGCAGTGGGTCTATTCTTGTTTTCCCCACAATGGGGCCCCGGAACCCACACAAATCTTTACCTAGTGGTGTGAGCAAACGGGTCCCGTTAGACAAAGCGGTAAGAAATAGGGGCGCCACCTAGTGCTGCAAGAAAGTTGTTTTACTCGTTACGGTACTATGTGCGGAATCTGGAAAATAATTCTTGTAAATTCCTTAGGTTCAGTTACTCCAGAACCAACTGCATAGACCCTTGATTGGACTACATCAGTGTGCTAGAATTCATAAAGTTAATGACTTACAACATTGCTGTCCTCTCTAAACCAAATGGGTGGATGTTAAACTTTGCAGAAAGGTACCACCCTAACAAATCAATGCCCAGAAGCCTAAATGTTATTTCTTAATCACATACAGAATAGTGCTCTGGACAAATTTTTTTAGCATAATCAAGATTAATCCAAGTAGAAGAAGAAGACAGGGTGGTGAGGACCACAAGCTCCAAGACTTCTGAAGTTTTGTTAAAAGGGGACTTTCACTTGAACTGAACAATAAATATTCAAGGAATCCTGAGTTTTCTTCAAGAAGTATTACTGAAACGTTATTGTTACCTTGCTCAAGGGTGTACCGAGCACACACAGCACTTCATAAAGTATAAAGAACGGAGGGAGAGGAACACATTTAAAGAGAAAGCGAGAGGAAAACAGCAAAGTGACAGGCAGGCAGAGTAAAGGACAGGTGGGACAAAAAGTGGAGCAGGTAGACAGAGGCAGTTTAAAAAAACATCGTTCCAGACTTATGCTTACACCCCCTCCAAAACTGCACAATTAATAGGAAAAGAATTATGGAGCAGCCCATTTAGTAAAAACAAAATTTAGGGGCGGGGGGAGACAGGGGGAAGGGGGATATAATCCGTTTTTAGAAACAAGCACCCACACATGGCTGCTCCCTTCCCAATGACATGCACTGCTATATCTATGGGCTACAACACAACCTGCCCTTTCTCTAAACAAGCAATTTCGGCTAAAAATGGCTGAAACTAAACAAGGGTAGCCAAAAATTGCAGGTCTTCCCGTGATTTACTTCAATTCTACCATTGCCATGTTCAAAACTGCAGGTTTATCAAGGTCTGTAGGGGTCATGGAAGCAAATTACCGGGTTAAAATTCCCTCTGAGCAAGTAGTTACGAGCAAATACTGTTTGCTCTTTTCATGACATTTTTCAGAACTAGCACTATATTCAGAAGCATCTTATTTCCCATTCAAAAACTAATATGGAGCTATCACTAGCAATCAAAGTATACATTTTACTAGACAACATAAGACAAACATTGGATGGCTAATGCCAAAGTAAAAACACATCAACAGATATTATACTGAGAATAATAACACTAATGTATTATTTATTTCTTGGGTTCTTCAATGTTTTTCAACAACTCTTCTCTTTTCTGGGCAATGCGCTCTTCACGTCTGCGACGAGCCTCTTTAACCTTCTGTCTACGAGCCTCAGCCTGGTCACTGCAAGTGGAAAAATATAAATTATACTTTCCGATATTATATATTATGTTTATGGTGTGCCAGTGTGAATAATAATTGCAGACATCTATCTATGATAGTAGATTACTGTAAGTAATGTAGCGCTGATGCACAAAATTCCTAACAGATATTGCCTGCTGAATTCCCCATCTTCAGCGGCAAGTAAAGAGTTACAGTTTTGATGGTACCAGTAGCCATATATCCATCTTATCCTTCCCCTGAGTGTTAAAGGTCGGCCACATACTCTGGTAACTCCTCACAGTGCCATTCTCATTAGTGATGATCTACCTGCGCATGTCATATGTCAATTCATCAACAAGTGGTGCAGAGTCGGACCGACTATCCGCCTGCTTATTTTCCAACCTGCCTCCACCTCTATTTAAACTAGACGTTGTGATACAAATACTGCCCACTAAGTGAAGGTATCTGAGTTCTAGCACATAGTGAGTGATGCGACGATAAAGCACATGAAAGTAAACACACGACAAGGGCTAACTAATCCAAAACATTACAGATGCCTTTGTATTCGTTTACAAAATATGTGCAATAGGCATTCTGGGCAACACTCGGCTATGTAGTCATCTTTTTTCCTAGTTCACAGATAAATATGTCGCTGAAACAAACTGTAGACAAAAGAATTCTTCATGAATTACCTTCTTTCAAAAGAAGAAGCTGAAAAAAGCACACTGTTTAGCTATATTTCTTTATTGTTGCTTACCTAAGGATCTTGGATCTGGACTTCTCTGCCTTTCTCTTGTGGATGAACTCCATCAGTACACGCTTGTTCTTGAATCCATTACCTTTGCACTTCATGTACAGCTCGTGGTACCTGGCGGAACATAAGTTACAATGCACTTCAGCGGTACTAATAATAATCAACAAGTATAAATAAGCTTACACTGTACAAGCTTATATATTCTTTCTTTCCTTCGGAAGTTTAGCTTGTTTATCCACATCTGGTTCCAGAACCTAAGTGTTGCATGTTCCGTATACATATTCTTCACAATAGGGTACCAGACCTAATAGGGATATGAACTTATTAATTAGGTGCAAGTTTAGCAATCACTTATATAAAGCTTAGAGAAAGTACAAATCTGAGATGTTATAGAAACTGGCGACATGAAAAAACCTCAATGTCCTTTAAAAAATAAAACAGAACACACAAGACTTAAGTTAGAAATATAAGTTAAGTAGTCCATGTTTACTGGCTGAAAATTGTACAGATTTGGTTTATTTGCAGGCTCTGGTTCCTTTGCCAGTCAGGCAGGTGTACTCCTGAATATACGAAGTGGTCACTTAGGGATCAGATTCGCACAAGTTGGCTGAAAACATGCTGCAGTGGAAAATTAAGACAGCACATGATGTAGATTAGTACCCATTAAATGAGGTAAATGAGTCGCTGTGGTGTTGCAGCTTGCCAATCGCCTGTGGATCTATAGGTGGTGGGTTCAGGTCCTGATGGAACCACTCTTCACACAAAAATGACACTGGCTTCCAAGCCTTAAGTGGGTACCAGATGTTGGCCATATCACCCATCAAGTGTCAATAGGTAATTAAAATGTAGGCCTATCCCTATACGCCTAAAAGGTGTAGAAAACAGTCCTTTACTTTCTTTGCAAATCAAATGCAGTTTCCTAAAAGACATGTCCTGATGTGACTGGCAGTCTAGAGCAATCATGAAGCTAAGCTGCTAATTTACATCACTGATACTGTTGCACATGTTAATACCACTGCAAACAATCACAGTCAGAGTGGGGTAAGGATGTGCATGCATATTAGCCATACATGTAAGCAATTAAATACAAGTACCTAGTAATCCGTCAATTATAACTTACAAATGCTTGTCAATCTTCTTAGCCTCCCTGTACTTCCTCAACAACCTGCGCAGAACTCTCATACGTCGGATCCACAGAATCTTAGTTGGCATACGGGCATTTGCGGTACCTAGTGAAAAAAAATGTTCAAACAAAAAATTTTACAGTCTCTGTTCATCAGTGCTTCTATAGAAGTTATCCATGTGCCTGGTTAGACAAATTACCGGGACAAGCAATGTGGTCAAGAAATAATCAAAGCTTACCCCCCCCCCCTCCAAAAATTAACTTTTTACAACTTAAGCAGAAGAGCTTTGATACTCTATAGGTCAGAAGTGCTTGAAGGAGGAAATCTGCAACAGGAATGGTAGAAATGACCATTCTGATAAGCGAACTTTCATGCTCTCAGAAAGTATGTTTTAAATGCAAAATCTCCCGAATAATGGGCACATATTAGGGCGGCCGCAAAAACACAGGGTCACATGTTAAATGTGCAATTCTGGCAACTATCGCCACCGCCGAAAGTATCTCAACGCTGCTCATGCAGCGTGGATTGGGGCTAAACTAGATGGCTGGGACTCATCAGCAGCAGCTTCCGCATCTATTGCAGCTTGCCTCGTGAGTCTAAGCCATCTAGTTTAGCGTACTCTCGGCCGTTGCAGTAGCTGCCAGAAGTCTGCAAATTAAGTCGCGGGAAGTTTGCAATTTACCTGTGACTGAGGCAGTTTTTGGAGGCCATAAAATTTGCAAAAATAGGCTTGAACCAGATATGTCGTAGGAATCTTTGTGTCAGGTTAAATACATAGTAATATAAAAATAATTGCTACAATTTTAAAAGCAGACGAATTTTACACCTCAATATTAAATGCTAGTAGGATAAAGTTGTACAAAATACCTTTTCTCTTGCCATGTCCCATATGACGACCTTTACGGCGAGCCTCTGCATTCTTGCGAACTCTAGCACGAGAGTGAATCTTCACTGGCTTGCGGATGATCAAACCATCCTTTACAAGTTTCCGAATGTTTTGACCTGAAAACCAATCGGGATATAAATCATATCTACAACGTTTGGATACATGAACAAAATCATCTTTAAGATGAATAACAATACGAACACAGCCCCCCCCCCCTTTTTTTTTAAATTAATTTTACTGCCTAGGCATATTATTTGCATATACAAGAAACAAAACCAAACAAAAAATATTTGTAACTTACGAGAGTTAGCATTGGCAATCTCATTTGCTTCGTTTGGATCCAACCAGATTTTGTTTTTTCCACATTTAAGCACCTTGGCCGCAAGGCGCTTCTGAAGACGAAGGGTACTGAAAATGCAATAAAGTTTATATAAAGATCAAGAAATGTGCAGACCTGTCTACACCGTCACATACTGATGACTATTTTTTTAAATCTATGCCATAAGGTCTATATTTAAATACTGATAAAATGTTTATTTTTAAAACACAATGTTCATATTCATGATATTCAAGGCTCAGGGAGCAAATTGCACCTCACAACTGAAACAGATTTGTTAAAAATCTTGGCAGCGATTCTGATTTTATTAAACGTAGGATTAAGTTTTTTTTTTTTTTTTTTTTAAATCACCAGAGAACTGTAGAAGTCGCTGATAGAATGCAAAGTTATACTTGGGTACTGACAATGAATCTTTAGTACTTTAGACCGAGTTTCCGTTTCTGGACGGCATGGTTCGCCATTTTTTTTAGCGAAACGTGAACAACAAAGTTATCTAGCAGAACAAAAATAATTGTCAATCTTCAATACCAAATATTTTTTTATACTATACAATTAAAAGACACTACAAAAAGATATTAAATTACGTCTTTCTGTTATTACAAGCAAATCTGTTTAAAAAAAAAATATTACAAAAATCCACGTCAGTCACAAGTTTCATGCATATAAAACATAATTCTTAAACCAGCATGAATAATCAAAATTAAAAGTTCTTTTAAATGACACCTACCATTACTAACATTTATTTAAAACGTTAACTATTTCGAAAATTGGTCTAAAACTATCAAATAAAATAAAAAGCTCTATAAGTGTAAGCCAGATCTACCTCATGGTACGGAGCTGTGCCGTAAAAAGGAAACAGGAACTACTTCCGCTACCCTTGCCATCAGGCGCAAGGATATTTGGAAAATATATTTCACCGAAACGATATTAAAATTAAATGTATTATGCATTTTATATGATTTATATCTAAAACTTCTGTAAAATATAGCTCAATAATCAAAACATTTTATTTTCAAAATAATAAAAAGTGAAATAGTGCATTTCATAATAGTCTATTGCAATCGGTAATCTGTTTCACGAAAATAACCGCAGGGATTGACCGATTGTTTAATGCACGAAGTTAAACAATCTATATGTTATAACTTATGTGGGTTCATCCTGGCGATGGAGCAGAACGGGTGACAATTATATGTATCGAAAAAAAATGAGTATTTATGGTGACCACATCACCCACCAAATTTGGTCTTTGAAATATAGGTATAGCCCTATATCAAGTTAGTTACGTTTCCTTTACAGGACGATGCAGAACCAACCTCAGCAATTTTTGGTTGTCGTTTTTCTATGCAAATTTTACGTTAAGTAGTTTATGACGACAGCTGCGGGCCATGCGCCTTGCGTTGGTTTCGACAGTAGTATCAAGAAAGCCGACCGTCCAGTAGCAATGGCAAACTACTGGACGTAAATTTGCCTAGAAAAACCACACAACAGTCAGGGGCTGTTGGGGTTAGTTCTGCAACGTCCTGTAAAGGATACGCAACTAACCAACCAACCAAGTTTGCCATTGCCAACTTAACGGTCAGCTCTCGGTACCAATGTGGAAACTAGCGCAAGACAAATCGTCTACAGCAGGGATCGAACCCGGCATTACGAAGCGCGTTCGCAACGCCTAAACCACAGACGCTGACATGCCCCTTATAGCCCACCCAATACTCCCAAAGGCGTAGAAAATGTTCCTTTTAATCTGTCATATTATTTGCAATTCAGCACAATAATGATAATAAATACTGTCACATAATACGAATGTTTTCAATGGCAAAGAAATATAATCATGTATTTGAAGTGATATGTAATGTATAAACAAATACATTGAAAGATAATTTTTAATCATGGTTAAAGAGGCATCTTAGTCCTCTTACACAATTGTGGGGTGGGAGGGGGGGGGGGCTGAGCATCCCCTCCCTTTATTTCTTTTGGGCTGGGGCACTCAAGATGAGGAGAGCGTGGTTAGGAAGGATGTGTGCTTCACAGTTTAACCGTGGCGTGAAAAGCGGGGAGGGGGGGGACTAACGGGGTCTGAACCTTCTCCGCTGCCAATTTTTGCTTAGCTGGTGAGGGGAATTGGTGGAGGAAGGTGCTCCTTACATCACCACTCCCCATGTATTTTATTTAGGGAGGGGTGTTAATTACACCCCCCCCCCCCCCAGTATTTTTTCTTGTCGGCGCGCCTGAGATGGGAAGGAGGATTTACTGGAATTACAAGAGTTAAGAATAAGTATAAAAAGGGTATAGTTAACAAACGTATTTTAACTGGTTAAAATGTAATCCCGAAAGATGTTTATTCTCTTCCGCATGTTTTCGACCTGCGAGTGAAGCTACTTCCTTGTGTCTGCATTTGCATAGTTTATGTTTAGTTTAGCTTAAGAAAATGTCTTGCTGCTTGGACTTAGCCTAAATACTCTGATACTTTCTTTAGCCGTCGACTTTTTCTGCCTTTTATCTCCCGGTGGAGAATAAGCCTTCAATAACTTACACAATGCACTTTTTACGTTTCATAGTTAGCTGGATTTTGACCTAACATTTTCTACACAGTGACATGTACAGTTTACTAATAAATTACAGACATTCATTAACTGGTGCCTGCGCAGAATAGAGGGAATTAAATGGTATGATAGAATAACTAATGTAGAACTTTGGGAGAGAACTAAACAGGCTCCAGTGACCAAGAGGTGAGGAAAAGACGCTGGCGTTGGATAGGACACACACTGAGAAAACCTGAGAACAGCATAACTAGAATGTCTTTGCATTGGAAACCACAGGGGCATGGGAATAAAGGGAAAAAACGGAGAAGAGAGCTGGAGAATGAAGTTAAAAATATGGGGAGGACATGGGGTGAGCTCCATGCAATGGCGAAGGATAGAACGACTTAGCATGAGTTGAGGGCCTATGCTCCATTGGGAAATAGAAAGGCAGAAGAAGAAATGTACAGTCTTACAGACTAACGGCATTTAAAAACGTATCTTTGCTACCTGCATTTTATGGTGAAGTAAGATGGGAAAGTTGTGAGTTTGAGGTTTTAAGGCCCCGTGACTAGAGCAGTCACATCGGCGACCATGTTGCCAATTGGCTCGCCGGCAGACGACTTCGTCGCAGGTCGGGACAATATTTGGGTCTGTCTTCTTTGATCGTATAAACACTGCAAGAGTCTTTTTTCAGAGCTAATTGGTTGCGAGCAATGTTACACATTTTTATATGGCGCAAAAATTATAGACATAATTATAACCAAAAGCTGCCCCTTAAGGTTGCTGGTTGAACAAGACAATTTGATGAACACTATATCAGTTACAACCCTGAGAGTTGAACAGGACATTTTAGGAAAATTACTACTACTAGTCGACAGAACAAAATTCTCCATCCATAACCGAAGATCGAACACTGGTCTATTGCGTGAGATCGCATTGCTCTAATCACTAGGCCATAAACTCACTTTCAACTTACAACTTGTATATAAGTTCTGTATAACTATTCTTTGCTTCCGGGGTGGGTACTGGTAACGGAGGATACAGATACAATTATAATGAGCTGTTCTTTTTCTTCTTCACCTATGCACACAGGAGTAAACAGTGACGAAAGAGCTGACCAGCTGGCGAGTGGTGCACCGGTGCAAATGGTAAGATGCATGGACAGAACTGATATCATCAACGCTGTACATTCCCTCGAAGTCGGATTACATCTGCCCGTGAGGCAGGGAACGATGAAAGCCAGTAAAACAGTTGTACACTCAAAACTCAGGTCCAGGTAAAAGCCAAAAATTCAAGAGGACGATTAACCGGGACCTTTCTCCGGAATTCACAGACGGTGAACGAAGAAGAAGAAGAAGATCAACGCTGTACTGACTAGGTTAGGGATAATGATGAATCGCGGACGCTAACATAACTGCGTGACCTGGAAGTAGGGCTTAATGAAGCACGCCTCTGTCGTCTTCAAAGTCAAGACAGGAGATACTATAGCCAACTTCTCATGGAAACGGTCTGTAGAGGCACCTTGGAGTGGCTGCTGTTTCAGCAGAATGAGCACCCATATGAATGCTCAATATACAGTGACGTCGATTGTAATAACATTTCCCGTGTGGCAAGCGTCTATCTACTGAGCTATTGTGGCTCATTGTGAACTATTGGGTGTGCTGCCTGTGATTGTGGAGCAGAAAGGCAGACCCCTGAGCACATACTGCAGTACTGCCCTACCCTCTCCCAGCAAAGACTGTGGATCTGGCCCAGGAGATCCACATTGCGAGAGAAGCTATGGGAGACCAGTGGCGACCTTAAACGCACAATCCTATTTTTTTTTACCCAGACGGGACTCAATGTTTAGCATGACTGATGTCGAACGCGGAAGAAGGAGAAGAAAATTGGGTGTGGAATGTACATCACTATCTTGCATTTAAGAATTCTAACCACTATGTCATAGCCGTTCCTTACTTAGATAATTCGTTAAAAAAAATTGCCTTTAAAAAAAAAAAACGCTTTCATCACTGTGGTACGGACAATGACAGTCTGGTACAATGTCTCTTAGTGCTTGCACTGCCAACTATTGCAGATAGGCTTAATGTTCTGCAAGCAAAGTCATATCTCAGAGTAACTGCGGACAAGAGGCACCTCCTGCATGAATCCCTAGATAGATAGCTAAGGGTCACATACTGAAAAGAGGAAAGTCATGGATGGCGCAAGCTGAAGACACAATTGTACATGTGTGCAGGCTTGATAAATTTATTAGAGGAGAGGAGTGGGTCAAAGTTTCCGATCATGTTTCAGACGTGTGTAGGGTTCTAATCACTTTAGGACGTGAGTGCAGGGACTGGCCAGCTGGTGCTGCAGAATCAGAAGTTTAACAAATTATTAATGAAAAGTCTCGCCTATGCGATGTGACTGTAGATACAGATGGCTCTGTGTTGAGAGGCAGACAAAGTGCATGGAGGTTCGAATGGACATCGCTTGGTGCAACAAAGCCTGGCATATGATATCACAACCAACTTCTAGTTTGAGAATGGAGGTGGAGGCAGTCACTGCTGCCTTCAGCTGGCTATAGAATCAGCTGTACACACATACTTCACTGAACTGACTCACAATGCATGTTGAGAAAGGTGGAGACTCCGTGCAGAGTGGCAAGCATCACTTCAAAGGTCCCGGGTAGTTAGCATCTTTTGAATGTTTTCTTAGGTAATCAGGTGTGTAGGGAAATGAGCAGCCAGATAGACTGGCCGGTTCTGCACCACTTGGTGTTTAACTGATGTATGACGGTGGATTTTGTGAGGTACCTTTGGGAGCGAGTGAACAGTACCGAGAAACAGATAGATCATTACGGTCTGAGGAGAATGGCACTGCGACGAGTTACAAGGGGATCTGGCCCACCCTCGACACTCAGGGCAAGGCGAGACGGATTTACAATCATACAGTTACTGATACCATCGGATTTTAACTCTTAGCTTGCTGCTGAAGATGGGGACGGGGCGCTTATGGGGGTGTACCGATTGCTGTGATGTCGATTCTTAATTCAACATTCAGTGGTGTTGTGAAACACGCTAGTTTCATTAATATTATCAGTCTGGGATTAGCTGTCCTCGGCTAGTAATTAACAGCAGAAACTCCATTGTTGACGTAACAAAACCAAGGGAAAACATTCTACAACCAGGTTACCCAAACAGAAAAATGTCCTCGGTCAATGCTACCTTCTCCCCATTTTTAGCCTTATAATTTACAGACTGCTTGTTATTTATTTTATAGTGTGCTCTATGTGGATTCTCAAAACGTTTGCTGTATAGCTAAACACTGCCTTTTGAATTCCTCTTTTTCTTAAAAAATTTTATGTCTTTTTTGGGAAAAAAAAAAGGGGGGGGGGGGGGGAGAATACCACCTGTGTATCCTTTTTAAGGCGCTGTATAGTTAAATTGGACTCCCTCTAAACTTATGTTTTGATTGTGTCGTTCCAAATTTTCATTAGGTTTCCCTAATTCTGTGCTCAGTATATTTCTTCAGCGTGACAGCCGATACCAAGACAATCTAGACAGATGACCAGACTATCTTGCTCTTTAATGAACTGTACGACTGGTTTCGTAAAATTAAAAATACAAGCATAAAGGTAAAAGTAGCCGATATGATTTACTGCTGTTTATGATGTGGATAACAGGTCATGTTTGTCTGCCATCAGTACTGAGATCCTTTAGTCTCAAGGTGTTAAACCTTCAGGTCCTGTTGGTCTGCCATCAGTAATATCCTTTAGTCTCAAGGTGTCAAACTGTCAGGTCCTGTTGGTCTGCCATCAGTACTATCCTTTAGTCTCAAGGTGTCAAACTGTCAGGTCCTGTTGGTCTGACATCAGTTCTATCATTTAGTCTCAAGGTGTCAAAAATTCAGGTTTTGTTGGTCTGCCATCAGTACTGAGATTCTTTAGTCCCAAGGTGTCAAACCTTCAGGTCTTGTTGGTCTGCCATCAGTACAGAGATTCTTTAGCCTCGAGGTGTGAAACCTTCAGGTCCTGTTGGTATACCATCAGTACTGAGATACTCAAATCTCATAGTGTTAAATCTTTAGGTCCTGTCGGTCTGCCATCAGTACTGAGATTCTTTAGTCTCAAGGTGTCAAACCTTCAGGTCCTGTTGGTCTGCCATCAGTACTGAGATTCTTTAGTCTCAGGGTGTCAAACCTTCAGGTCCTGTTGGTATACCATCAGTACTGAGATACTCGAATCTCATAGTGATAAATCTTTAGGTCCTGTCGGTCTGCCATCAGTACTGAGATTCTTTAGTCTCAAGGTGTCAAACCTTCAGGTCCTGTTGGTCTGCCATCAGTACTGAAATTCTTTAGTCTCAGGGTGTCAAACCTTCAGGTCCTGTTGGTATACCATCAGTACTCTTCTTCTTCTTCTTGTTCACCGGCTGTGAATTCCGGCGGTAAGTCACGGTTGTTCGTCCAAAATGGACTTTTGGCTTTTACCTTGACCTGAGTTTTGCGTGTACATCCGTTTTACTGGCTTATTTGTTTGCAGTACTCGTTCCCCGCCTCTCCGGCAGATGTACTCCGACTTCGCAGGAAGACGTCAAGCCTATTTCTAGGTTGACTGTGGCCATTGTTTTGTGTGGGTCGAGATGTTGCCTTATTTGTGTGGTGTCCTCTTTGACTTTTAACAAGTGTGGCCCCCGGCATGTCGTCCTTAAGGCAGCTCTATGTAGAGTTTTCAGCCCTCAAGGGAAGGCAGGGGCAGATCATGGGCATTCCCCGCCATCCAAGGAGGCTTCCATAAATGCAGAGCCGACACATGATGCTCTGGGTCTGGGCTCACCCAAGGAATCGTCACGTCCTGCCCATGACTGCTTAACCTCACAACCGTGTATTGAGCTTCCCGCGCTACAAGGCTGCGCTCTCCGGAGATCAGCGGGGAGCAGCCTGCAGGTCTAGAACGTTTGTGGCCACACAAATAGGTACATTCTTTTTCATCTTACGTTAGACACCTTTAACGTTGTTTCAGCTGTGCCCTTAGCACGACAGAATGGGGAAGCAAAATGCGTCAGGCGTGGCTTCACCTGTTTGGTCCCAACACTCGGGCGAGTTGGACCAGTGGATACGGACATTCAGACTTTTCCTAATCGGTACGAGTTATGATCGTCGGACTTTGAGCTTGCATGTGTGCCATGGGATGTAGCTTTGTCGGACATTGTTTTCAAGCCAGCATATGAATAGTTGCTGCCATGGTGTACCTCAGCGCGGTGACGACGACACTGAGGATTGACAGAGGACGTACGTAGGTGGGATCTTGCTGCGAGAAGTCGCCCACAAGAGATGTTACTCGTCTTGGCTGCGGGTAAATCTCTCGGTCAGGGTTGAGTCTCAGCAGCACAGTTTTCCATTCGCTCCCGAATTTTAACCAAGAGTTGTCATTTGATGGTACATTTAGCAAGCAGTCCTTGAGTTTTGTTACTTTTCACCCATGCGTTTGGGGCGGGCTGGTGAGAGCCAGAAAGGACTCTACACCTCTAGGGGCCGCCAACTCCGAGATCCCCTGCCAACTCTGTTAATGCTCATTTGAGACATTATCCGTGGCGCACGACGGGGACGTGCAACAGGAGTCTTGCATGAGGTTCCGTAAAACCAGAACAGTGAAGGACTGGCGCCCGAGTGGGGTACGGAATATCTCCTTATACACATCACATCAGACTTAACTTCCCCTCATGCCTGTGACCGAAATCACCGCGCCACCCCATCAGTACTGAGATTCGTTAGTCCCAAGGTGTCAAACTGTCAGGTCTTGTTGGTCTGCCATCAGTACTGAGATTCTTTAGTCTCAAGGTGTCAAACCTTCAGGTCCTGTTGGTCTGCCATCAGTACTGAGATACTCTAATCTCAAGGTGTCAAACTGTCAGGGCCGTTGGTCTACCATCAGTACTGAGATAATTTAGTCTCAAGGTGTCAAACCTTCAGGTCCTGTTGGTCTGCCATCAGTATTTATTTAGATCCTTTAGTCTCAAGGTGTCAAACCTTCAGGTCCTGTTGGTCTGCCATCAGTACTGAGATCCTTTAGTCTCAAGGTGTCAAACCTTAAGGTTGTTGGTCGGCTGTCCAGCTTGAGATTTCATGATCTCAGGCTGCGAAATTTTTTAGGTAGCATCCTGGAGGGGTTAGACAGCACGCACATATTGATACTTAATCTGTTACATCTTTCACGTATTCTAGGAGATCACATACACTGTGAGAGGCTGTCCCCTTCTATTGTCTCATTCTCAGACATTTGGATGGTACATCGCTTTTATGAGGTTGGGTTGATCACATAACTGTGCCGATCAGGAAAGAATAATCACGACTGTTGGTGACTCGCTGTGTTTATAGCAAAGCACACTAACTAGTATGCTACCTCAGCATAGTCATAGTTAATGTGTAATTCAACACTGGTACTGTGTTTGGAAATGTCACATTATTTTAGTGTGTGTTTAGTTTTCATTCTGCAAATGTGTTACCGGAGATAAAGGAAAGAGGGCAAGGGGAGGGGGGGGCGGGGAGGGGGGGGGGGTTAAAGACAAAGAACAGTAACGAATATTGCACTCTTTAACCCATGACCAGGTCGAATATGACAGTTGGCTTCTACTTATTACCTCATCCAGGAAAAATTGTTCGCTTCAAGATCTAGCTATAACTGATTGGGAAAGGAGGAAGGTTGGGCCCAAACCTAGCATATCACGATAAAACATACAAAGGACAAAATGTGCGTTTGTTGAAAACGTATGCTCCAGCTAAAGCATGCCGTTTCCCCCTACGGGACTGTCACATAAAAGGTTTGAACCCCCTCCAGGATGAGGCCCTGGGACCCCCACGGTAATAATTTTAATTCCTACCAAGTAGAACTTTAAGTGCAATAACTTGAAAGAGAATGTTAACACATATAACTGTCTGAGATTGAAAGAGTCAAATCGGCAACTGTCTGAGACATCGGTTTTAACAACCCAATGTAGAAAGAGCTGACTGACAACTGGAGGCAGGCAGAAGCAGACGTTGTTGAGGACTGGCCTCCCTTGATTCAAAGAAATCTCGTTCAGACAACAACCTCTGCCCGTTCTCAACCCTCTCGCCATTTATCTGCGGCTCGCCCGCACGAGATGTATCTGCTGTCTTCTTTATTATCGTCGCTGCTATCGTATTTGTGGTAGAACGGCAGCCAAATGGAAGGTAAGATTTATTGGAGTTTTTTAAAGAGGTTTTTGTGAGAAATTTATTTATTTGATAGACGGGATTTTATTTTCCAACTTAATGCGATAGAAGATATTCATTATTATGTTTGTGTTCTTCTCCCCTCGACCTTTTTTTTCACCGACCGTGTTCACTTGTTTACATTACATTCTTCAAATCGGCGTTGTTTTTGTTTTATGTCAGATTGTAGCAAACAGTGTGTAGATACTTAGAGACGGTATTCCAAAGGAATAAAATACTTATATTTACGTTAATGATATGGCAATGCGGTTCAGTTTCCAGTGTAATGGAATTACCTTGCCCGGTAGGTAGGATGCACTGCGTGCTAGTGTGCTACAGGTGGCAGCCGATCGTTTGATCATAAGTTACATTATCATTGATTGATTCAACAAACTAAATGTGGAAAATAATATATTATTACAGATCTGGGGTATCATTTCATACACAACTTCATGATGAAGTCAGATCAGTGGATTCATTACCTCATTAGCTGTAACTTTCACAACTTACAGTGCACAATTATTAGAACAGGCACTACCAAGCGTTATATAGTTTACACCCTATGCAACAACACTTACACACTTCAGGAATATTCCGGCTATCCTCCGAATAACGTTCCCAAATTATCGAGGCCGAAAATATTAAAATTACACTAATCGGGCCTCAGTCTCATGAGCAAATAAAATGAAGGAAGCTGCAGGAGATGCGGTAGCTGCTGCTCGTGAGTCCCAGCCATCTAGTTTAGTTTAGCCCTGCTCCACGCCGCATGTATGTATCTCGGGGGTGGTGGTAGTCGCTGAAAGTCCGCAATTTAAGTCGCCGGCAGTCCCCAGTTTACATGTGATTGAGGCCCTGTTAGGGTATAATTTAAGCCTCGATAATTTGGGACCGTTATTCGGAGGATAGCCAACATTCCCACTTAGGGGTAAAAGAAAAGTCCCTCTGCTGCCTAACAGGCATATTATATAAGGTGACACATTTTTTTTTTCCTTTGAAAGTCAGAGTGCATCTGCCTTAGAGGTTAGGAACCAACAGTCTGCATATAATTAAGCCAGATTGTTAAAACTTACTAAAATTGATGTGAACAGATAACTCAACTTCTAGGACAAGGTCAAAGTCTAGAAGTAAATGGACAGCCAAAACTTTCTGTTAGAGTTACAGCCATGGAATGCTAAAAGGAAGAAGAAAAAAAATGCGGAAACACCAGTGATTGGACAGTTAATCAATCTGTAACTACATCCATAATTATGTATTTTAGTGTTTTACATATTGGGTTATTGCAGATTTGATTAAACATCAACACTATTAGTCAGCCAGTAGCATGATGTCCTTTGCAGAACCTTGCTCCCACAACAACCCCCCAGAAAACTTCTTGATCACAAGCATCCGATACACCCATCTGGAGATCATCTGCCACATCCTACACCCATCTTTTCTTTGGCCTTCCTCTTCCTCTCTTCCCAGGCATATTTTCCTCCATTATAGGTTCTCTCTAAGCTTTTGTGACGTTTCAAGTGTCCAAAATATATTTTAGTTGTCTGTGTTTTATCGTCTTTAATAGCCAACCTTCTTCAAAGCTTCAACACCCTCGGTCACGACAAATGTATTTTTTTCTCTCTCAGATGAGTATGGAATTGATGCATTTGGTAAGTCTGCTGTTCAATGTAATAGCCACCTCAGTGTTTACTTCTTCTGTTTGTGTCTTTCATCTTCCTTTGTAGTTTTGTTACTGATTGTTTCTAAATAGACCCACTACCCCCTAATGAGCAGTCGTTGGAGGCAGAATAATTATTTTTTTCTTTCAAAATAAGACTGCACCTGCCTGAGAAGCAGAGAACCAAGTGTGCATACAAATAAGGCAGATCTGTAAAATGGATCTGCACGCAAAACTCAAGTTGTGGATCAAGTTCTTGTTCTTCTTCTTCTTCATTCACCGGCTGTGAATTCTAGCGAAAGGCCCCCGGTTAATCGCCTGCTTGGATTTTTGGCTTTTACCTGGACCTGAGTTTTGCAAGTACTCCAGTTTTACTGGCCTTTGCCTGTTTGTGCCTTGGATCAAGATCAAAAGTCTAGGAGTGGACGAGCAACCATAATTTTTTTTATATCGAAGTTTACAGCTGGTGAATGCCAGGAAGAAAAATAGGAGATATATAGAATATACAATTATTAGTATTGTTCCCCATTTGTTCCAGTTCCCCATTGTGGGGAAAACAAGAACAGACCCACTGACTACCCAAAAGCAGGTTGTAAGAGTTGACTAATTGGGAGCTTCCTTCCAAGTCGGATTGCATCTGCCTGAGAGGCAAGGAACCAGCAGTCTGCATACAAATTAGTCAGACCGGTAAAATGGATGCACACGCAACATTCAGGTTCTAGAACACGACGGCAGTCCAGAAGTGGATGAACAACCAGAACTTTCTGCCAGACTTTACAGCTGGTGAACGCAGAGAAGAAGAAGATTAGTATTGTTAAAATTAGGAAATTAATTATTATTAAATATTAGGCAAAGAAGTAATTTAGAAGAGACAATCTACAATCTGAGACAGAAATTAACTGACATTTTTTTAGACATAATATTCTCTGGTTGCTTTAAATAATGTACTGGGATGGCACCTTGGTATGACTACACTGCTGTTTCTTGTGTTGGCTGGAATTTTTTTTTTTATGTATGTTAAAAAACTGCTCACTAAAATTTAGCAGCCTGAGATCATGAAAATCTCAAGCTGAGTGCAGGGGAGCTCTATACTATACGAGTTATTCAATAATTTTATGAGAAAAAAAAAGTTGGTGAGAAGTGGTCACATAAAATGTGAGTTGATTTACCATAAGGTTATTTTGACTATGCACATCTGGGGTTATCTTGACCATGCACGTCACACACACAGAGAACTGGTCATCTAGATTGTGAACAGATTTACCATGGGGTTATCTTGACCATGCACGTCACACACAGAGAACTGGTCACCTACATTGTGAACAGATTTACCATGGGGTTATCTTGACCATGCACGTCACACACAGAGAACTGGTCACCTACATTGTGAACAGATTTACCATGGGGTTATCTTGACCATGCACGTCACACACAGAGAACTGGTCACCTACATTGTGAACAGATTTACCATGGGGTTATCTTGACCATGCACGTCACACACAGAGAACTGGTCATCTACATTATGAACAGATTTACCATGGGGTTATCTTGACCATGCATGTCACACATAGCTTTGCCGTATCCAACTGTGTTAACCTTTTGTGAGTAAAATCAACAGCAGCAGTGATATGTGAGATTTGTACACAAATATATACATTTTTTGTTTCATTTGAAAGGTCATGACATGCATGGCGGCTATCATGTGGGAAACGGTAGGTGTTGCTGTTTGTTTCCACTTCATATTATGATTCATGTCTGGTGTAATGTCATACTTTTGTTGTAGCTTTTCTTTTGGTTGTTGCCGCTGTTTTACTGCCTGTTTGGGTTCCAGGGTCCCATTTTGGGGAAGAATAGACCCACTGCCCCCTAACAAGCATGTCATAATTAGGGGTATTTATAGCTAAGTCAATGTGCATCTGCCTGGGGCAAGGAACCAACAGTCTGCTTGCAGGTGAGTCAGATCTGGTAAACGGATATGCATGCAATATTCAAGTTCTGGAACAAGAACTTGGCAAACAACCTGAACTTTCTTCGAAAGTTTAGACCAGTGAACGCCAAGAAGAAGAAGACTGCTTATATGCAGTGTGGCTCTACTTTGTGGGATCAAGTCACCGTTGTTATCGTGTCCCTTGCTAAGGTGTATAGGTGTTCACATCTCTCCTGAAATCTTGATCCAAGGTGTTCTGTATTAGTTGTAGGTAAAAAATATTTGGCAAAAAAACAACCAAAACCCAGGAACACAATATTGGAACATGTGTATATAGATTGGGGCAAAATAGGCAACCAACATTTTTTGCTCACAACAGTATTCATTAATTCATTATTGCCATTCTATCTCATGTATGGCTCGCAGTCTATTCCTCCACTTCATTTTATACTATGCAAGCAGTTAAATTTTATGGATAGAAGCCAGTCCAGCAGCTTTGGCCTCTCTCATGAGCGTTCATCTTAGGGTTTCTTTTGGGCATCCTTGCCTCCTGAATCCCTATATTTCCCATTTTAATGCCTGTTTGGTGATTCTCTGCTGGTTTCTTCTCAGGATGTGTCCAGTATAGCTCCATCTTCTCTGTCTTATAACTGTTGATACTAGTGGTTGCCCAGACATTTCTCTTATTTCTTCACTCCTTTAGAATTAATTCTCTTTTATTTTAATAATTTGCCTCAGACATTTGTTTTCAAATTCATTTACTTTCATTCCATGTATTTAGTGGCTCTCCAACTTTCACTTGTGTATTTCAAAACTAAAATAACATTAGAATTGTAACATGATTTTAACTTGGTTTTAAAACTATACAATTTAGAGTTCCATATTTTGTTCAGTATATTAAAAGCTGCTAATGCCTTGCCAGTTCGTATCATAATTTCTTTCTTTGTATTTCCTTCACTATCAAAATTACTACCATAATAAGTAAATTGATCTGGCAATTTAATGACTGTTGTCTCTCGTACTACATCTCCTTGATGTGATGGTGTCTCCGATAGATTTGTCTTTTTATAACTTATTTGTAGTCTAGCCCTTAATGCTATATTTGCTAAATCGTCAGTTTTTCTTTGCATTTTATTGCTGTTTTTACTTAGCAGAACATTATCATCAGAAAAAAACAAGATCATCGCAACTGTGTATCTCTACGTAGTCGGTGCCAGTGTTTCCAGCACATGTTTTCATCACCCAGTCAGTGGTTATGCCAAATAACAGGAGATCAAATGTATCCCTGTTTCACTAAATTATCAACTTTAAACCAGTCACTTAGGCCATTAATCACTATCTCCCCCGTTGACACACAAGCAGATACCTCAGAGTACTACAGTTAATCTTATCAGAACTATTTTTTGGGCCAACACTATGCTATCAGTGCCAAACGTGGACATTTACATCCTCCATTGAACGTTAAATTGTGACAACAGAAGTGAAATGCCTTAGAAGAGCTGCAGGAGTTTCAAGGAAAGACAGAATATGAAATTATGAAATCATACGAATGCTAGGAATAAAGCCAGTCTTACATGTCATCAAAGAACAACAAATGAAGTGGTCTGGACACCTAACAAGAATGCCCTGGTACTATCTGCCACAGCGAGCCACACTAAAACGTTACAACAGGTATAGAGCGAGTATAAGACCTCTGAAAATATGGAGTGATGGCATTAAGAACAGCCTTACAGAAATGAGCAACAGTCTTAATAGTGCTCTTGACAGCTCATCAGCGAACATTACATCTCCCCCCGACACTTCGATGAGGTACGAGGTGGAAGAGAAGAAGAAGAAGACTTAGGCCATCGTCTGTTCACACTGCGCACTCTGAACCTTTATACATTTCCATAATAATTTGTATTAGATTCATCGGTATAGCATGCATTCCACAATTCCCCGTAAACTTATTGTTTGCTAATGAATTGATTGCTTCTCTGATTTCCGTGTCATTTATCTGTCCTATATTTATTGGTAATATGGTCATTTTAGCCTCTTCATAAAAATTCACTGGTTCTATTGAATATTTATTGGAAGTGTTCTGCCCGTCACTTCTTTTGCTCCATATCAGGTGTAAGAATTGTAACATCCTTACTTTTAATGGGACCACCCTGCAGTTGTTTTCTCCTTCTTCGCATTCACCAGCTGTAAACTCTTGTGGAAAGTTCTGGTTGTTCATCCATTTCTGGACTGCAGTCGTGTTCCAGAACCTGAGTGTTGCATATGCATCCGTTTTACATTTGTATGCAGACAGCTGGTTCCTTGCCTCTCAGGCAGATGCACTCCGACTTCATAGGAAGCTCCCAATTAGTTTACTCTTATGACATGCTTTTGGGTCTATTCTTATTTTCCTCACAATAGGGCCTTGGAACCCACACGGGGAAACCACCCTTTGAAAGTACTGTTTAGCTATTTTAGTGTATTGTTTAGTTTAGTATTTTACTATTTTCACTCTTAGCTGGCTGTTTCATCTTTAACTAATCTATCAACACATGCTCTCTATCTCATCTTCCACAAATTATGATTAGTTTTTTCTTGCTGTAATCTTCTTTAGCCCTGATTTCTTGTTCCATTGTTTTAGCATTGCATATTGCAAGCTGCAGTGACTTGTTCTTTTTCCTGAATACACTGCCATGTGTCATCACTTTTCCAGGGTTTACTGTCATGCCTCTTGAGTCCTGCACTAATCCTTGCTGCTTCTAAAATTGTGATCTTTACATCAAATCAGTTTTCCTCAATACTCTGATCTCCCTCTGCTACAAGTGTTTCAGATCTGCTCAGGCAGGAACTCTATCAGAAATATAGACTAACTAAAATTCCATATATTTCATAAACTCATAAAATGTTGAACTTTTGCACCAGATTGAATGAAGGACACATTTTAAGAATTAAAAAAAAAAACTAATCTTGTTGTACATTATCATCTTGTGCCTGTAGATGAGTGCAGACAAAAGAGGCAACAGAAAAATCTGTTATCTGACATCAGTATAACTGATGATCAAATGCTGTTAATGCATTGTAGTTGTGTGTGGGCTTTTTCTATTACATTGTACATTTTCTGGAAGAGTGTTGCTTTTTTGAATGTTTTTTAAACAGAATTTTGTTTCAGCATTTACATTTATTGCTTTCCTATACTCTTACCTGATTATTTTGGTGATTTGTTTATTATGCCTGCTATTTCAGGTCATCCAGGGATGCACTTCCCCTTGTCCAGTCTCCATCAGAATGGTAAGTACCGTATTTGAGCCACACGTCTCGAAACTTACTTCAGGTTAACTTCAGATCAGTTCTGTGGTGAGTTATCAGAAACATAGAAAGCAACCCAAGCAGTTACAATAAACTATAATCATTCATTAACTGATGTCTGTGCAGAATAAAGGAAATTCAAAGGTATGCCAGATTAACTGGTGTGGATCTTTGGGAAATCTTCATCTTCATTGTTATTTCAAGTGACATAAATGCATTGTGCCTGTTTAAAGCAAAGCTGCAATATTTGTGCCTTTCAGCTGACACATCTGACTTCTTCAGTTTTTTATCCGGATTAACCTTCTTGTTAATTTCAGGGACATTTGTAGCCTCATGTATATGGTGACTTTGTCATTCCCTGGTCTACCAGTGTTGTCCCTCCTTGTGTGGGTTCCGGGGCCTCATTTTGAGGAAAACAAGAATAGCCCATGGCCTCTTCTACAAGCGTGCCTTAGGAGTCGACTAATTGGGGACTTCCTTCGAAGTCATAGTGCATCTGCCCGAGTGGCAAGAAACAACCATCTGCACACAAATAAGCCAGTAAAATGGATGCACACGCAAAACTCAGGCTCTTGCACAAAACCAGAGTCCAAATGGAAGAACAACCAGGACTTTCCGCTGGAGCTCTCAGCCAGTGAGCAAAGAAGAAGGTGTTGCCTCTAGAGGACCCGCCCCGAAGAGCCACGTACAGAATTGTCGACCCTCATAGGAAGGAATATTGTGACGACTGGGAAGATCAGCGGTAGAAGAGGGATAGGCAGACTGAGAGAGATGATGTTGGATGGATTGCCACTGTGGAACGGAGGGATATCATTGGTGGAACTGATCCAGAGGACAGGGGACCGAGATCTGTAGAGATGCATGAACGCCTATGCCAGTCGGCAGGGCACGTGATAATGATGTTGATGATTGGAAAACAGGGGTAGAACTTAGGCATTCCTTTCATCCAAGGACGCTCTATATATGCAGAGCCGATACATGGCGCTACGGTACTGGGCTCACCCAAGGAATTGTCACACGATGTGCATGACTGCTTAACTCCTATCCTTATACTGAGCCTTCCACTCATTACGGGCTGCACCCTTTAGGGATCCACAGGAAGCAGTATGCAGACCTAGAAACTTGAGTTCCCTGCACAAAAGGACATCTCACTTCCTCAGCCTGTTAGACTTATCAACTTGACAATGACACATTTCACATGGATGCTCATGGGAAGGCTAACCCGGTGAACAAATGCCTGATAAAGTGGAGTACGTCGGCTGAAAGGTGCAAATATTGCAGCTTTGCTGTAGACAGGCACAATGCATTTACATCACCTGATTGAACAAAAAGAAGTAGACATAGATGCTCTAGGGCACTTTTTGGGGCATTTGTGGGAAACGTACTTCAGGCTTGGCTTCCAAGTAGGGTCCTTACACTCCGATGAGTAGCGGATATTTTAAGTTGTTGTGTCATAAAGTAAGATCTTTGAGTGTTGGACATCTGAACCATTTCAGTCATACAGTAGGACACTTTATGGACGGACATTTCAACCCAAGCATCAGTACGGTAGGAGTCTTGGTCAACAGACATTTGAACCAAGGTTTGTCGTGTAGTAGGACATCTCTGAGACAAGCTTTTGACCACTGTCAGACTGAATAAGATGTTGCACACACACAGGCCAGGAACCCATTGCTCAGCGTATTTCCCTAGAGAACCCAGATATACATACAGACCACTGGACACCTTCCAGTGAGCTACAAGCTACGCTGGCGGGACTAACTGAAAAGCTATGTCAGCTTACCCATTGCTGGCCCACAGCTTGTTGAGAGAGAGGGGGGGCCTTTATTGAGCCATTTGTCAAACTACCATGCCCACTACTATTGCCTGCTCACACAGCAACCATGGCTTCGAGCTGCTATCACATTCTCATAAATGTTGCCAGACTATTTTTGTTTTGGCTGGGAGATGCCTGATTGCTGAAATTTGCCGATGAGGCCAGTACCATGCTTGGGGAGACAACTAAACATATTTCAGGGAATCAAGTGGTCAGGAAAAGACCTTGGAACTTGATAGGACACACACTGAGACACAACAACCTGATAATATCACTAGAGTATCCTTGTACTGGAAGCCATAGTCTAAATAATGAAGGGAGGCCTAAACACACATAGAAGAGAACCAGAAAATGAGGGTAACTTGGCATGAACTGGGTGAGGCCCTCAGCTCCACTGTATGATACAGGCCAAGAGAAGAGAAGATGTTAGCCTTTTGTTGGTTGTGTTTTTATTGTCTTTTTTTATTGTTTCAATTGGATTTTGTGGCTCAAGATTGTCTAAAGGGATAGTTAACCCAGGAAGAAGAAGAAGAACCCTTCTTATTACTTTGTGAAGATAACCTGCTTCTTTTAAGGTCTTTTGTAATATTTAGAAGACTTGGAGAGGTAATGAATGGTATGTACTTTCAGCCTAAAATTAGCATCATGAAATCTCCCGGGAAGAAAATACCTCCAGTGTGATATTTACCATGTTTGCCACAAGCTAAGTTGAGTTAATTCAAGAACCGACAACACAGCAATCGGGGCATTCCTATAAGCGCTCCCTCCCCATCTTCAGCAGCCAGTGCAGAGTTCCAGTATCAGTGGTGTCAGTCGCAATCTGATTATATTCTGTCTTGCCTTTCTTCTGAGCATCAAGTATCTGCCAGATTCCCTCAACACTCCTCGCTGCATCATTCTCACCAGACTGTGATGATCAGTTTGCTGTTCCAAATTGTACACATACTTCCATAAAGCCTTAACCACAGCTGCCTTATCATGCATCAGTATTCCACCAAATTGTGCAGAGCCAGCCAGCCTGTCCACCTGCTCGTTTCTCAACACACCGGCATATCCCAGAGATAAGATCCAGACATTGCTACTCTTGACCTCCACTGTGCACAAAGCTTACCTGTCCTCACCTTCCTCAGCATGCTTTCTGAGTCAGTTACAATTACGATGTGAGTGTATGTATCGTGTTCTCTAGCCAGCGGAAAGCTGCAGTGACCGCCTTCACCTCCATTCTTAAGCTGGATGTTGTGGTATTATATGCTAGGCTCTCCTGCACCATATGTCGACCATTAAATTTTGCAAAGAACCCCCGGGTGGCACTTCTTGTGCCTTGAGACACTGACCTCTCTGTATAAATAATCACATCACCTGTGCTAGCATTATTCTGAATTAATTACTGAGACAATGAGATGTTTTACATTTATTTTTAAACTTCTGACCTGAATCTTCTTAATCTTTCTTTTATTACTAGATTCCCCAGTACCCAGCTCCATTACACCACCAGAACAACAGACAGTGTTCATGTCTCCAGTGAGACCCAACACCGGAACTGAAGGCAGGACAATCTCTCTGCGAGCCAACCACTTCCAGCTTCAGGTGCGGAAAGGAATTATCTATCATTATGAAGCACTGATCACACCAGACAAATGCCCTCGTAGGGTCAATAGGTGAGTTTATTTCACTTTTTTTTAAAATAGGCTTTGATTTTGTTTGTTTGTCTTGTACAGAATTTGTGTACGATTTCTACACTATTTTGTGGATGACAATGCAGTGTATTCTTGGTAAAGGTAGTCCATTACAGATACTGCCATAAGTAAGCAGAGTGTTATGCCTTCACAAGTTATACACACTGGTTAACAAAATGTTCAAAATGCCTTGCTTGACAAAATTAAATCCTAAAGGATGACAACTGAAATTAATTCTACTTTACCACATTGGCAGTTTTCTCTCAACAGTGACTGTTACAGCTTGATTCAGTCATTCATCATTTTGGCAAACAAACAGGAGGATAGTGAACAAAAACTTTCGGTTCATATAACGTTTCCCAGCCCAGAAAGAGAGTAACTACCCTTGCCATTCATGCCTCGTTGGGTCACAGGATCTACGTAAAATTGACCAAACAAGTCACATTTTTGTCAAATAACATCAGCATACCTGCATCTGGGCACATCCATACACCAAGACATGGTGCTGTTTATGAGCCAGTTTTCTTCCATCCTTCTATTTATAGAATGTTAATATTTTTCCTATTGACTCTTCGTATTCTAAGAATTGTCTTTTTTATCCTAGATATTATACAAATTTTTTTCTCGTAGACTATGTATTAATGGAATTTTTCTCATTGATCTTAGATATTGTAAGCATTTTCCCAATAGCCCTACAAATTCTAAGAATCTATTTGTAACATTTGAGTTCAAACATCATGATTTCAATATCAAGTTTATTGGAATTTATAATGACCCTAGGTATTCTAAGAATCTTGTTGTAACATTTGAGTTCAAACATGATTTCATGGCAAGTTTCTTGGAAATAATAATGTGGTAGATTCTCCTTGCTTACCACTTCCGCTTGGCTTTAGACTACATCCTCAGCCTTAAGCAACCTTTTACTTCTTCTTCTTTGCGTTCACCGGCTGTAAACTCCAGCAGAAAGTTCTGGTTGTTTGACCACTTTTCGACTTAAAGTCTTGCTTTACAACTTGAGTTTTGCATTCACGTCCATTTTACAGATCTGACAGATTTTTGGTTCCTTGCCTCTCTGGCAGATACATTCCAACTTCATATAAAACACCCGTAATAAGTTTACTTTTACACGTAATAAGTTTTACTTTTACAACACACTAGTTGAGGGAGGGGAAGGGGTCTGTCCCCTCCCCCCCACCAAATCAAATTGGGCCCCAGAACCCACATAGTAACCTGTTAAAAGGCCAGAGTACGTAGTACTCTCTCGATCCGCAAAGGACACCCCAAGTACCCTACGGATACTCATCCCAAGATCTGCATGCAAATTTTCCAGTCTGTATTGCATGGAGGGGCATTTGGAGTTTTCTGTTTAAGATAGAAGGGATATGCCATTCGGCATCTGGTAAACAAAAAAAAAGGAAACATCATTTACTTCCACAGATTGTAGAAATATTATCTGCAAGCACTTGTTTCCAGACTGTTCTTCTGTGCTTGACTTTAGGGAAATTATTGACACCATGGTCACCGCATACCAGCAGAAGATCTTCCATGGGCAGAAGCCTGTCTTTGATGGGAAGAAGAATCTTTACAGCAAAGAACCACTTCCAGTTGGTATGGAACAGGTGAGGGTTGCATGTTTTTTTGTATTGGGTTGTAGTCTGTGACATTGAAATGGGAGATCACTGTGGCCAAGCCGCTTGCTTTATGCTTTGAAGGTCACACGTTCACTGTTGTACTGGATTGTCCCTTTGTCGGCTCAAAGGCAACATTTTGGGGGGAAAAAGAAAGAAGACAAAAGAATAGATCCACTGCCCACCTAACAAGTATGTCATAAAAGTTGACTAATGAAAAATGTTTCCTTTGAAGTCAGAGTGCATCTGCCTGAGAGGCAAGGAGCCAAAATTCTGCTCACAAATGTGCCAGATCTGTAAAAACAGGTGTGCATGTAAAAGTTCTGGAACAAAGTCCAGAAGTGGACGAACAACCAGAAATAACTTTTTGCTGGAGTTTACCACAGCTGGTGACAGACGTCATTTTCCAATCTGCCTTTTACAACATGCTTGTTAGGATGCAGTGGGTCTTTTATGTTTTTCCCCAGAACGGGGCCCTGGAACCCACGTAGGGAGAAGTCATGACCAAACAGCCTGATCAAAGCCAGCTTGTATGTGCTGTGTGAAATCTTGACCTTGTTATACACTAATAACCGTCACTGTAGGTATGAAGTTCCAGCCAGTCTTGTACACTGTTCTGATTTCTAAGCTTGGAAAGGAAAACAAGGTCTTTGCAGTACAGTACCCGTAAAGCGTACCTGGTCTGCGTCTGTGGCTTAGGCATTGTCAACATGCTTCATAAAGCGGGGTGCCGGTATCGATCCAAGCTGCGGACAATTTGTTTTGACAGAGGTATCGAGAGCTGACCGCTCAGAAAACAGTGGCAAACTACTGAATGTAAAATTTGCCTAGAAAAACCACAAGAGCCAAAAAAATGCTGGGGTTGGTTCTGCAGCGACCTGTACTGGATACTCAATCAGCCTGTAGAGATTGTTGTTTGGTACTAGTCTGGGAAAAACATCTCTACACCAGCAACACTCTGAAAGATGTAGGCTTTTTTACAGTGCCCAGATAATTTGCAATCCAATGAGCTGGACTCAATTTAAACTGGACTGTTTCAGGAGAGCACAGGGACTGGATGCTTGCCTGCCAGGCTGCAGGTCTTGTGTTTATGACAGATTTTTGGGACCATGTTGACCCAGTCTAAAATGGGTACCAGGAAATGTCTTAAGAAGTAAAGGTTGCTGCACCCATCGATGCTGAATGGTCTTTAATAAAAAAGAGTTTAGTGCCATATCTCTGTGTATTGTGAAAAGGATATTTATTTATCGGTGAAGATGGTTGAGCTAACAACAAGTGACAGTATAGAAACAACATGACAAACATTTAAGAGTACACTCCTAAACTGCTTAACAACACACAGTGGTATCAGACAGACAGGAGGAACACTGAGGAAAACAACAGCATGGTGGAATAATAATGTACAACACACTGTGAAAATTAAAAAGAAGAAATACAAGAAATGACTAAGATCCCGCTCCTATGACGACTATATCACGTATAGAGTAGCAAGGCGACAGTCTGTAAGAGAAATCAAACAAGCCAAGGAAACATCCTGGATCATGTATAAGGAAAATCTGACCAACATTTTTCTAATTCTAGGAGACAGTTTAACAAAACCATTGTAAAAATGAGAACCAGAGAGGACCCAGTCCGACCATCATAATATGTCAATCACAGTCAAGGAAGACCCATACATGAAGAGGGTAAGATCAGAGAAAGATGGAAATAATATTTCCAAACTCTTCTGAACAAAACAGAAAATTAAGGAATTGTACCATTCACACCCAGATGTACACACGAGGAACCGCACAGAATAACTAAACAAGAAGTCAGATAAGCAATCAGGTGCAGTCCAGAAAATAAGGACGCTGGTGTTGATGGAATTACAGCTGAGGCAATACAGGCCTGTGGAGAAACTGGAGTCACCTGGCTACTCCATATATTTAGGAAAGCCTAAGATAAAAGAACTGTACCAATAGCCTTGCAAAGAACCATTATAGTACCAATATGGAAAAGAAAAGGCAAAAAGCAAGATTGTAACACTTGAAAAGGCATCCCCCTTTTAAGCCACATAGGTAAAATGCTTGCCAAGATTCTTGAACAACAAATTAGATCTCTTGTAGGATCGATTCTGAGCCCAGCACAGGTCGGATTCAGGAAAGGAAGAGGGTGTATTGACGCTATTTTCACCCTAAGGCAAATTAGTGAAAAGACAATAGAACACAGACACCAAATGAACATCACTTTTATAGATCCAAAAAAGGCTTTTGACAGAGTGAACACAGATTTACTTTGGGATGTCGTTAAAAACTGGTAAAAATGGAACAGTTCTAGATTGTGTAAGAGCTGTTTATAGAGGAAGTTAAAGCGCTGTCAGAACAAAAGCTGTTCTCACAAACTGGGTCCCAGTAACTTTAGGAGTAAGGCAAGGGTGTGTTCTTTCACATTTACTTTTTATAATATATTTATGGACAATATTAATAAAATAGACATAACACCACCAGATATCGATAAACAGAAGGACTTAAATGAGCTGCTCTTTGCCAACAATCAGTGCATATTCTACAGTGAAAGCAAACAGCTGCAGGACCACATAAACCAACTACAACTACACGACAGTTGCCTTAAACATCACATGAAGATCAATGTTGAAAAAAACCAGAAGTCATGAGAATAAGTAGAGAGTAACAAACCATCGACATAAAGATCAAAGATCAAAGTCTGAAACAAGTGGAAGAATTTAAATACCTGGGAAGCATTTTTACACACACTGGTAAAATAAACAGAGAGATAGAAATGAGAATCCAACAAGCTAGCAATGTCATGTACCAACTTGCTGCAGTTTTAAAACACCCAGCTATCCCAATAGAGACAAAAAGACAAATTATAAATACAATATTTATACCGACTTTAGGTTACCAATGTCTGACATTAACAAAATAACACAAAAGTAAACTAACCACCTGTGAGACGAGATGTTTGAGAATGGCTGTGAATAAAACCAGAAGAGATCGAGTGAGAAAAAACGTGTTCACAAGAACTGTTGGAACAACACCCCTCGTCAAATTTATTGAGAAACAAAGAATGAAATGGTTTGGCCATCTAATGAGAATAAAACCAACGATACCAGCAGCAGTAGCATACAACCTGACAATAGAAACATCAAGAGGCAAGGGAAGACCAAGAAGAATATGGATTGAAGGTGTCACTGAAAACTTGAAACTGCATAACATCCCGGCATATCAAGTGACTGAGCGTGCCCTGACTCGGCTGCCGATCGTCTGATGAACTGCGACAACTAGCGGCATAAGCACATATTGACAAAAGAAGAAGAAGAAGATATTTATGTAGAAATTTAAAAGATATCTGAGCATGTTTCTGATGTAATTTTATTTACTCTTCGTGATGACAGATGTCTTACATGTGATATTTTTTATTTCATGTGCAGTATCCAGTTTTTCAGTTTTGATATTCTATGTGACATGTACTGTGTCTCATATGTGATATCCAAAATTTAAGGTCATGCCCCCTGTTTCATATATGTTATCCCACATTTTTTTTAACAGTGTCCCATGTTTAACATATAATGTTAGTTTCATGTATAATATCAAATCTTTCATATATGACGTCAATGCTTTCCTGAATAATATCCAATGTTTCATGTTTTGTATATGGCATCCAGTTCTTTCCAGTATAATATCCCATGTTTCATGTATGACATCCAGTTATTTTCCATTTAATGTCCCGTGTGCCATAAATGACATCTATTTATTTCCCATATAATATCCCATGTTTCATATATGACATCCATTTCTTTCCCATATAATGTCGATATTCCATGTTTCATGTATAACATCCACTTCTTTTCCTATAATGTCCCATGTCCTGTGTTTTATATATGACATCCAATTCTTTCCCATATGATGTCCCATATTCCATGTTTCATATATTACATCCAGTTCTTTCCTATCTTATGTCTTATATCCCATGTTCCATATATGACATCCAGGTCTTTCCCTGTAATGTCCCACATTTTTATTCATGACATCCAATTCTTTCCCTACAATGTCACATGTTTTATTTTTGACATCCAGTTCTTTTCCTGTAATGTCACATATTTTAAATGTGATATCCAGTTCTTTCCCTATGTGTAACATGTTTTGTATATGACATCCAGTTCTTTCCCATATAATGTCCCATATTTCTTGTTTCATATATCACATCCGGTTCTTTCCCATATAACGTCCCATGTTTCAAATGTGACATCCGGTTCTTTCCCATATAATGTTTCATGTTTCATATGTGACATCCAGTAATTTCCTGTATGATGTCCCATGTCGCATGTTTCATATATGACATCCATATCTTTTGCATATAATGTCCATGATTCATATATGACATCCAATTCTTTCCCTATAAAAAAAAATAGCTATGTTATATATGACACCCCGTTTTTCCTTGTATAATGTCTCATGTCCTGTGTTTCATATATGAATCCAGTTCTTTTCCATATAATGTCCTGTTTCATTCATGATATTAATGTTTTGCCACAAGGTGGAGCTGGAAGTCACATTACCTGGTGAAGGTCGGGACCGTGTTTTCAATGTGGCCATCAAGTTTGTTGGTCAAGTAAGCTTCTCTTCTCTCATGGAGGCACTGGACGGCAAGACACAGACTATACCTGGAGATTCCTTGCAGGCTCTTGATGTGGTCTTGAGGCAGCTCTCCAGCAAAATGTAAGTATTTGTTGTTTGATATTTCATTTAGAAGAAAAAAAAATAGTTCCTGGCCGATGATAATGTTGGGGTCATCGACCTTCTCTTGTTCTGTATCCCCCATTGGAGCAAAACACCCTCAACCAACTCATGCCAGACCTTCATGTCTCCTGCAGCTCTGTGGCTTCCATCATTTTGATCATCATCATATGCCCTGCCTAGCTGTGTAAGTATTCCTGTCTCTCTGCAGATCTCATTGCTGGTTTTTTTTCCCCCAATAACTCCACTGATGATATTTCACCATGCCATGGCTTCAGACCATCAAGCATTGTCTCTGTTGGTCTACCTCTGATTCTTCTACCATAGATCTTTCCAGTCATCACAGTTTTCTCCAATGCTTCTCTTCTCATAACATAACACTGACTGTCTCTTTCTTGTAGTTGTATGTAGTTTTATAGTTTCATTAGCCAGGTCTAGGCATCATTGTTAGTCACTCTGTCTTTCCATGGTATCCCAAAGTACTTCTCAAAAACCACATCTCCACAGTCTCCAAGTTCCTAATTTGTTCATTCATATTTCGAAACCGGGCGGTTCCCGGGGTTCACCCAGCCTCGAGGAAATGGGTACCAGTGTTGACACTCTGGGGTAAATGGAGGATCGTCGCTGTAGCTACAGAGTTACTTGCGAACGGCGACACAGGTGGACAATATCAGCTGTCCGTACTGGTAGCACAGCACTTATGGTTTATAACTGTGTGCAATGACGCTGGTTCACATCTCCCGACTTTACCTTTACCTTTTTATTCCAAGATTCACAGCCATACAGCAGAAATGGTTCAGCATGACGTTTCAGTGCTCTTCTTTATATGTTTAGTGATAGAGACCTGTTGAATACAATATTTTTTATCTTTTGAAATGTCATGTTCGCCTGAAATATGTTGCTCTAAATCTCAGTTGCACATCTTTCATCACTTTTGTAGTTGTCCCCAAATTTTTGAACTTATTGACCAGCTTTAAGCCCTTTGACTTCTATTGTAATTTCACATTTTGGTGATTGTTTCTTCTTTACTGTAACCAGTTTCTGTTCTTTTGATATTTAAAAAGAACTGATATAAAAACTTTTTTCTTCTTAAAGTCCAGCTGTGTGTTGTTGGTAGTCATATCTATCCACAACCGTCTATCTCGTGTACTTTCAATCAGCTCTGATACCTATTGTGAGTATTTTGCAAATGAAATTCGTATCTATACAGCAGTCAAAATAAAATGACGTTAAGGGGAGTTCAAAAACTGCCTTGTCCCGTAGAGTCCTGCATGGACTACAGGTGTAGCCAAACTGTCATCTGGCTACTGTACGCAAACTAAGGATATTATAATAAAGATCTATATTTATCTTGTGGTTGTACTGACATTATCTTTAAGATGTATATTTATCATGTGATTGTCCTGATGTTCTGCACGCTCCCTGAGATGAAGTCGTTGACAGTTGAAGTGTGGTTATATTTTCAGCTATACACCAGTGGGCAGGTCTTTCTTCTTTCCTCCTGATGGTCGTGGTGAATCTCTTGGTGGTGGCAGGGAGGTGTGGTTTGGCTTTCACCAGTCCGTACGACCATCACATTGGAAGATGACACTAAACATTGATGGTAGGTATCTGTTGCTTTTCTTACTTATGTGGCTCTGGGCACGATGAGGATTGATTGATTTATGTTTTATGTTGTATTTCCTTTGTTGTCATGTTGGTTGTTGTTCTGTGAGACACATGCTTTTTTGTGTGTGTCATATCATATGAAATTAGTTGCAAATCCTTTACAGATTTTGCAGAACCAACCCCAGCCTTTTTTTTTTTCTTGACAAATTTTATATTCAGTAGTTCTCGGTACCACTGTTGAAACCAACGCAGACAAATCGTCTGCAGCTGGGATCGAACCCGGCACCTCAGCATTACAAAGCACGTTCGCAATGTCTAAGCCACAGATTCCGGCCATATCATGAAAGCAAGGCAGAAAATAAATCTAGAGCTTTGGGAGTGAGTTACACAAATTCCGCTGAATCAAGAGGTGAAGGAAAGGTGCTGATGATGGATAAGGCACAAAGAATTGGCAACATATCCATCAGTTACGCAGCTGATCATCATTAACAGATTCCAGTTAGAATGTAAGAGGGCACATTCAGATAGTGGTAAGTTAGGCCAGCGGATTGTTTCTTCCTTAGCTAGTTTATCATCTCTTTTATTTCTGGGAACTCCTTAATGGGATGGTATCCACTGCATAACTACCCTACAACGGTTTCCTAGTTACCATAATAGTTTCGTATACTTGGTAATTTTCCAGACTGGAGTGCCTGAAGTACTGCTTTTGCATCTGTCTAGAAATACTACTGATTGTGAAATATACCCGGTATTTAGTAGTTTCTCTGCCGATATCTTGATGACTTGAACTTCTGCATCGTAGTTGTGACAGTGCTTACCTATTGGTATTTTGGCTGCATATCTGGTATTGTTAGGATGCACAGTGTATACTCCACCACCTCTGTTTCTGACTGCATTTTCTGCTGACCCATCTGTGTAAACACGAACCCAAAGATCCTGCGGGTATTCATCATCAAGTAGACTGAGGGTGACTGTTATACGTTGTGCACACTGTTTTTTCTTCCTTGTCAATTACTCCTTTCACTTCTGTCTTGATGTGTATTGGAAACTTATATGTCTCTCTCCAGGGGCTCCGTTCTGGAACAGCATTTAAGGGGCTATCAGTTGCAGGCAGATGAGTAGTTTGTCGCAGAGCCGTTTGGCCTGGTGGGTAAAACTGCCTCTCTTTAGTCATCCCAAAGCTAGATTTTGGAATCTTTAATTCATAGGGTAACTAGAAAATTTTCTGCTTGTATTAGCATCTTGGTGTCTCTGCGTTTACTCAGTGCTTGGGTCATCACCATTTTCTCCATCACACTTATAGGTGTTAATTTCATGCTTATATTGTAACTCTTGAGTTCTTGATTTTGTCTAATTCTTGTAGTATGGTTTTTGATGCTGAACTTCATGCTGTTGATCCGTATTCAAGGTGTGCTCGAACACTATGTTGGTAAACTTTCCTAAGTATTTTCCCCACTAGCACCCCATGTGGTTCCACTTAGTTTTCTCAGGATGACTACCCTCCTTCTGGCTTTGGTTGCAGCCTTGCTAATGTGTTTTCTCCGTGTTAACCTATCATCAAACGATACTACAAGATATGTGGGCTCTTTATCCTCTCTTAAGGGTACTCCATTTATGTGCATGACACCTGATTTTTGTTTTGGCGAGAGGGTGAAGAGGGTGGTGCTGCATTTGCCTATGTTGATGCTGACACACCATTTATCAGCCAATTCAGCCATTGCATCTGTGGCTCTTTGTAGCCGTTTACTGGCCACTGTTGCATGGTTATTTTTACACCATATTACCAAGACGTCAGCATACAAAAAGTAGATTATTAAGAAGAGTTTTCTTCTAAATTGGAGTACATATACATGAGCAGCAAGGAACCAACAGTCTGCATCGAAATAAGCCAAATCTGGACATGCAGGTAAAAACTCACATTTTGGAACTCCTTCGCCCAGAAGGTGACGAACAACCCGAATTCCCCCCGAGTTACCAGTAGGTGAATACACAGAAGAATAGGAAACTGATTGTTGTTTTAGGAACTGTAAAATGTGAGCATTCCAACTAGATTGTTGTGCTGTGAAAACTGGTTCATTCTAATATTTCATCCATGCAGTGTCTGCAACAGCTTTCTACAAGAAGCAGCCTGTCATTGACTTCATGTGTGAGGTGCTGGATCTGAACAATGTCGGAGACCAGAAGCGGCCCCTTGGAGATGCCCAGAGGGTCAAGTTCACAAAGGAGATCAAGGGTCTGTTACAAATTTGTTTTTGTAATTTTTTTTACAGTAGTTATTTATAAATTGTAAGTTGTATTTAAAGATGAAAAGACTTCATTACATCTGATTGTTCCCCATAGGACTTGGTTTCTTTCTGCATAGTGTCCAATTGTTCGTTGATAGTGTTGCACAAAGCACAAACTCTGTAGCTCCAGTTTATCACCCTCAGGGATCTCCTTGACACCTGTTTTTATGAATCAAAATGCGGAGTGAACTCCCTTTGTGGATTCTGGGACCCCAGTGTATGTATTGAATAGATCCACTGCCTTCCTAAAACACGTCAAAAGAGCAGACTAATTAGGGGTTTCATTCAAAGTAAACGGATGTGAGCGCAACACTGATGTTCTAGAACAAGACCAAAGTCCAGAAATGGACAACAACCATAATTTTCACGAGTTTACAGCTGGTGAACATGAAGAAGAAGGAGAAACTGAATCAACCAGACATTAAAAAAAACAAAAATAAAGCCTGAAATAATTACCAGTGAATGTTTTGCGGAAAAGACGGTCAGCATAATATTGACAGTAGTCCTCCTCAGTACTGTTTCAGCCTAGAAAAATGTTTCAGGCTAACATCATATACCCCATACACACCGAGGGGAAGAAAAGGTTAGTATCCTCATCATCATTGCTACCTTCATCATAATTGCTTCATTAGGTCCAATACTTTTTAATATCACAGCTTCATTGCCATCGGTAAAGGAATGTTACTTCTCCTACCTTCTGCAGGCCTGAAAGTTGAAATCACCCACTGTGGCACAATGCGACGCAAGTACAGAGTCATCAATGTCACCAGACGACCTGCACAAACACAGTCGTAAGTGCTGCATTCTTTCATCATAACAGCTTGTGCTTTACAAAATTAAGCTTGCTCTTTAGACTCTGTCTGCAGTCTAGGAGTTTTTGGGAGGTGATTTTCTATTAGAAGACCAGCAGGAGGTGGAATTGGTTGAACCGAGGGAGATTCTCAAGGATAGCACAGAAGTGAAATGGCTTAAATGAGTGCAATTCTGGAGGACCTGTAAAGATTAGGGGTGGTTTAGAGGGGTGACATTCTCAAAAATAGCACAAGGTAAGGCTTAGAGGAGTGAAGTTCTCTGAGATAGTGCTGTTGCGTTGAATGTTGAATTGAGAATCGACATCATAGCACTTGGGACACCCTCATAAGCGCTCCGTCCCCATCTTCAGCCCTGTTGTCTGAGAAAGCCTGGGAGTAAAGGGGTGGCATTATCTGAGAAACCACAAGGTGGCTTTCACCATGATCAGCAGTAATTTTGAGTGGCTTAAGGGTATGATATTCTCAGAGATCAGCATGCGGTCAGAGCAGTCTGGAGTTTAATACCAAACTGATTGCTAGATATGTCAGACCCTATCAGGTTCAAAGTTAGTTGTAATTTTTCAATAGTTTCAGATAAATTACTTTAGTTCTCCATGTTTGCTTTAGACTTAGATTTTCTAAGTTTGCTACTTGAGTCCTCGTTAACAGACTGTTATGTTTTCAGATTCCCCCTTCAGATGCAAAATGGCCAAACTGTTGAATGCACAGTGGCTCGTTACTTTATGGAACGTTATAAGATGAAGTTAAAGTGAGTATGGAATAACAAACATAATTACTAATAACCTGCAAGAATTCAGTAACTGGTGCCTGTGCACAGCAGATGAAATAAAATGGCATGAAAGGATCCAGTAGTTGAAGGTGGGGGGGGGGGGGGGGGGGACTAAACAAATTCCAGTGAATCAAGAGGCAAAGAAAGGGATAGGACACACAGAAGGGAATCTTTATAACAATAAAACTATAATGTCTTTGCAGGTGAACTCAGAAGGTCAAAGGAACATATGTAGTTTACTCAGTAACCATTGCCTGTGTTGTCTTTCTTTAGGACAACTCTTAACTGGTTATGCTGTTTGGTTTTCGAGGGACTTTTTTTTCAAGTGTGTGGTCCTCGGATTAATTCCTGAGCCCCATTTTGAAGAAAAAAGAATAGACCCAATGCCCTCCTTACAAGCATGCCATTAAAGGATTGTTTTATTTGAAGTCTAAGCATATCTGCCTAAGAAGTGAGGAACCAGCAGTCTGCTTACATGAATGCCAGATCTGTATAAAGCTCAAGTTCTGGGGCAAGACTATACAGTAAAGAAGTGGATGAACAACCAGAACTTTCTGCCAGAGTTATAGCCAGTGAATGTGAAAAAGAAAAAAGGCAGACCACAAAACCATGTGGAGAACAGATTAGGCAGAAAAAAAATGGGGAAGTCATAAGAAGCTGCACATGAGGGCAAAGGATAAGGGTAATTTGGTGAGAGTTGAGCATAAAAGGCTTGGCAGGAGTTTGTGGAGAGCTTGGGCTCCAGTGAGAGATTAAAGGTGGCTGTAGCAGTAGAGGGCTCATCAGATCTCATTAAAAACAGACATTTCTGGGCTAAAAATGTCACCACCTCCAAAATTACTTTCATTATTGGTATCCATGAAGGAAGCAAGAAATGCACGTAGTACACTCACCTACCATGCATTTCCTGAGAGACAATTAAGGAAGGTCGAATTTAGACTGGTTGTTCACCCAGTAGAAAACCAGCTATAAAATCCAAATGATTATCAAGTCAACAAAGAACATGCCGTGACTTGGTTGAGAATCTATACTCTGTAAAAGCCAGCAGCAGAAGAAGACAGCCATGGTGGGCTGAGAATATGCTTCTTCTTCGTGTTCACCGGCTGTAAACTTTGGCAGAAAGTTTTGGTTGTTCATCCACTTCTGGACTTTAGACTTGTTCTAGAACCTAAAGGACTCAGAGAGATCCATGAGACAACATGAAGAGAAAACTGACCTGCCAGCTAAACAGACTTTTAGAAAACAATCAAATCGTTCTCTTGTGGATTTCAGTATGATCACTGCAGCATACCAGGAAATGAGTTAGCGAACAAAAAATAAGCAACACACCCATTTATTGTCATTACCAGAAATCAAAAAACTCATCAAAGGAAAATACAAGGAATCACGGAGAGAAAAAACTAACAGTAAACATCCAAAAAACTCCATCAGAAGACTCAACAGAAAGCAACATACAACAATTTTCTGTCTATGAACAGGACACTGCAGGCTAAACTACCACCTGCATAAAATAAAGATTATACAGTCCCCACAGTGTGCCTGTCAAACAGGACCACAAATACCTGAGCACATTCTGCAGACCTGCCCACTCTACCTGCAACTTCGAAAAGACACCTGGCCTCAAGAGCAGAGTGTACAGAGCAAGCTATGGGGAACCATGAAGGACCTGCTGCTGACTTTCAGGTTCATAGGAGCAACCCTCCTGATGATCTGATCTGAGCATACGCAACTGAACGCAAAGAAGAAGGGCTGGATTCCATACACAATAGCAAAAAAAATAAATGCACAGAATAAAACAATGAAAGAATTGACTGCAAGCCCTATGTGATGTTTGCATCACAGAAAAGGCTGATGATGATGAGTAGTGTAAGTTCTCCTGGAAATTTGACAAAATGTGGTTGCTAAGTTCATCTTTCAGTGACAGTGTTATACTTCTTAATCCATATACCCCCACAGACATCCATATCTTCCATGTTTACAAGTTGGGCAGGAGCAGAAGCATACATTTCTTCCGCTAGAAGTAAGTAAACACAAGACAATCTGTGAATAACAAAAACGTAAGACAGTCTGAGAGTAAAGAAACATATTCTTCTTACATTTGCAGAGAGTAACCATAAGACAATTTGTGATCTATGAATGACAGAAACATATGTTTCTTACATAAGAAGTCATTAAACATATTTGTTATTGATGCCATTCCATCTTTCCATATGATAATGTTATCTTATGCTTAATGGAATCAAAGGTGACAGCAAGAATGATAAGCAAGACCCGCACACGTTGAGAAAAGTTTTCCAGTTTAAGCATAGGATGTCATGATTGTTGTTGCCAGCTCATGTATTTAGTGTGCCCCTTCTCAGATGCTCAGCTCTCAACTTTTCTGCAGAAATTTGTTTTTCTATTATTTCCATTCCCTTCCTAGGTGCCCCCCCCCCCCCATAACACAGCTCATGGCATTTAATTTCCCACGAATCTACCTCATTATCTGTATCTGTCATGAGTCACTTGCACACATCTTTATATCGTAGTAGGGGCCAACCTCAACAGCTTCTGTAATTCACCATAGAGGATGTCCTTAGGCATGCTACCATTCTCCAGGTGTGATCCAGCCATCTGAGCCTTTGGATACTGAGCATTGAAAAAAACTGTTGTGATACCTGCTCTGTCAACACTTCAGTCTTGTATAATGTCAAGTAGTCTTCTTAGGCATCGCATGTGAAAGCTATTTAGCTGTAGATGGTAGGAACAGGTTGACCAAGTGTCACTGTTATAAAGAAGAGTGCTGAGAACACAAGCATGACAGACAAGAGTTTTGTTGTAATCGTGTGCTTTCTGATCTTCCAACTGTTTTTGTTAATTTGCTCATTGTTGTTGCTGCCTTGCCTATCCTGATTTTGATTTCTTGGTCCAATGATGGTCTATTATTCACTGTAGATTTGAACACAATCTTCGGACCAGCAGGTGGAGCATCTAGTCTTTACACCACTGTGGCTCTCCCGTAGGAAAGTAGAGAGATAACAAGGAAGAATGTTTGATGATCCCTCATGCCTGCTTCATTTTTAACTTTTTGAAAATAAATTCTTCCAGGCAGATACTGCTTGAAACGAAACGACACAGACTACGACTAGAAAGTTCAGTGAAGGAAAAGGGAACACAAAAAATTGAGTACAAATGCAAATTTTTCAGTCTTTATTAATAGAAAATACAGCAAAATCAAAAACAACCAGAAGCATCACAGAAAATCTGGCCCAAGGGAGCTACATTGCAAGAGAAGCTATGGGAGACAGGTGGCGACCTTAAACACACAATCTTATTTGTGACCCAGGTGGGACTCAATGTTTAGCATGACTGATGTCGAACGCAGAAGAAAAAAATCACACAGAAAGACAGTTTTACTTTTTGACATGAACTTGACCTGACTTTCAATGTTGCATGTATTTTTTGCTCCCTGGAAACTCTTTGCCAACGTTGGTACATTGTGTTTTAGGTGTGTATCATTGTTGGAGGACAGCGTTGTATCAAGAAGCTGTCAGAGACTCAGACATCTCTGATGATCAAGGTGATGTGACTTGAGTGGTTCATTTAAAACAATATTCTAAAATTTTCCTTTTTTGCACACACCCTGAGTAACTCCTGCCTCCCATTACCTCACTTTCTTACAGGAGATGCTGTCCGGTCTGTTGCTTCATGCCTTGCTTTGTTGTCCCACGTACTCAGTTCAGTAACCTCATTTACCATGTTGTTGCTTCATACCCCACCTTGTAACCCTTACTCTGTTTTAAAAACCTTATACTCCACTGTCTTGCCTCATACTCCACACTGTAACATCTTACTCCACTCTTTAATCATATACTCCACTCTGTTGCTTCATACTCTACTATGTAACAATATCCTCCATTGTATTGCCGTGTACTGCACTCTGTAACCTCTTACTCCACTCTGTAACAATATACTCCACTGTGTTGCTGTATACTCCTTTTATCAAATTAAAAAAAATCATTTATTTTAATCATTTCTTGTATTAATTTCATCATTCCCTAATTAGCACTTTATTTAATTCATAATTAGTCACGTGTGGGTTCCTGAGCACCATTTGGGGGGGGGGGGGGGGGGGGGTAGAATTGAACCACTGCCTCCCTAACATGCATGTTTCCTTCAGAGTAGAGTACATCTTTCTAGGAGGTCAGTAACTAACGGTGTACAAACAAATAAGCCAGCTCAATAAAATGGATGTGCACACAAAACTCAAGATCTGGAACAAAACTAAAGTCCAGAAATGGATTCACTGTCAGAACTTTTTGCCAAAATTTACAGCAGGTTAATGCTAAAAAGAAGAAGAATAATTAATAATTTCATGTTTTTTTTTGCTTTAAAATTGCATAATTTAATCACTTCGTCATTTAATAATTTTTTTAATTATCATTGCTTCATCATTTCATTGTTTCAGACCACTGCAAAAAGTGCACCTGACAGAGAGAAGGAAATTAACAACCTGGTAAGTTGTTAGTGTTCTAACTTTAGCTATAGAGCTGTGGGTGCATAGTAGGTGGTGCTTTTGCTTGCCTAAAAAAACACCATCCCCTATTACCTGCATATGGTAGCAGAAGTTTAATGGTATGACAGTGTCACTAATGAGGGGCTTAAAGTTAGAACAAAACAAATTCCAGTGAAGATAGAAACAACAAGATTGCACAGTGTTGCATGATAAATTTTGCTGTATCTCGTCAGGTTCATATTACAGAATTGAGCAAGGGAAAGTCCTCATGTGGATTCTAGGGCCCCATTGGGGTGGGGTGGGGGGGGGGGGGGTGAAGTAGACCCCCATTATGTGTATATCACCATTGATCAATTAGCTAATAATTGAAATGGCTGGGGCATATTGAGAGAATTTTTGATGACAGGGAGGTAAAATATGTGTATACACAAGAGAGTTGAATGGTCATAGACCATGAGGCAGACCAAGAAGATAGTAGATAGATACTATTCAGGTGACCAACAGACACTTGGTGTCAAAAGCTGGAAAGAAAAGGCCAACCAGAGAGACGAATAGAGCTGGGAGTTGTCTGCAGCAATGAACCTCTGTCGCGAGTCTTGGAATGAATAGATGCTTTTTCTAATGAGTGAATGTTTGAATCTGAAAACTCCTCCACATGAGAAACTGGACCAGTGTCTGGATATCAAAGAAAACAGTCGTATTTGGCTTGTAATAAAAATTAATAGTAGCTACACTTGGTACCCACAGGAGAATGAAAAGATGAATTTAATTAATGAATTGTTAAGCCAGGGCTGGTAACCCCTCCCGACAACCTCCTCCTGCAAAAGAATTATTAAAGAGCTTCCACCAAATATATTCTATCTAACAGTTTAGTTAAACATGCAAGAACAAATACACTTGATATTTGACAAACAAGGTTGCATTAAACCTTATATATTGATTTATATCAGTCGTTTAGATAACCTTTGTCATTTTAAAAATATTTGAGTAAACAGGTTTTGGTAGTAATAAGATGCTTCAGCTAGAACAATAAGCATCTGAGATTAGAGTGATGTTCTTATGAAGTTTTTATGAACAAAAATGATGCACATAACTTTGAATTCAAGAAATGAAAACCTCAGACAGCCCTTGATTGAGGTTCTACCTATTTTTTCCCAGCCTGCAGATTTCCCACACAATATAGGTTGGTACACTGGACTATCTGCTTGTTTTAAGTGCTGACTGGTCCTTGTCCCTGATGGGAGCTGTTATAAAGGAAACAAGCGCGTGTGTGTAGCCTCTTTGGGCGTAATGTGAGAGCGAAATGTAGAAACAGAAGAAAGTAGTGCTCTTCATTAAAATGGTCTCAAAATTACTTTTCCGTTTGAGTATTTGCTGCAAAACTTCCTGAAACTTAAAGAGTTAAATGCACCTGATTGTTCACCACTGTAGCAAAACCTGCTATGAGATGATCTTTGACCTTGACAGTCTCTGATCTGCTCTGTGTTCCAGATCCGTAAGGCAAATTTCAACGCAGATCCATACCTGCAGACATTTGGTATCAGTATCCACACACAGATGATGGATGTCACAGGCAGGGTCTTAACTGCTCCAAAGCTACAGTATGGAGGACGGGTAAGACTTGGTGTTGCAGTCTTTCTTCTTTCACCCTGGGGTGGAGGTAGATGGGTAAGATGTGGTCTTGTAGTGTTTCATCTTCTACCCTGGGATAAAGGCAGATAAGTAAAATCTGGTATTATAATCTTTCCTTTTCTGTCCTTGGGTGGAGGCAGATAGGTAAGATATGGTTTTTCATCTTCTACCTTGGGGTGTAAATGAATGGGTATAATATGGTCTTATAATTATCTGACCTCATCTACCCTTGGGTGTAAGTAATTGGGTAAGACATGGCTCATAATCTGCCATCTTCTACCCTGGGGTGTATTCATATGGGTATGATATAATCTTACAATCTTTCTTCTTCTTCTCTGGGGTGTAGGTTAATGGGTGGGACATGTTTTCCTTCCCTCTCTACCTTATAATGTAAGAACGTAAAATACTTTTTTATCACATAATCTGTTCATCCCCCTGTGGGTTCCGGTGCCCCATTATATGGAAAACTAGAATAGACCCTCTGCCTTCCTTCGGAGTTGGTTAATTATCGTGAGGCAAGGAACCAAAAGTCTACAGGCAAAGAAGCCAGTTGCTTTGGTATATAATTATTTAAGTAGCACTGTGATTTCAGTCACACGCTAGACGGAAATTAAAGGCCGTTGTGATGTGCATAAGGAGACACTCCACACCTCACCTCAGGCGTCAGCAAGCTCTGCTGGTTTTGTGAATCCTCATGCAAGGCTCCTACATGTCCTTGTGTCGTGCACTATGGATAATGGCCTATATCACACAACCGAGCTGGCAGGGGATCGCACTTGATGGCCCCCAGAGATGCAGTTCCCAAAATCCTCTGGCACTAGTCAGCCCACCCCCTGTGCGTGGATGATAATGTACATGGAAAACTCATTTGGAACATGAGTAAAGTCTGCTGGCAGAGTGCTCATTGAAATAAAAAAACACAAAAAAACTAAGGTTCAAAATGTCTATTTCCTGACAGTCCTACTTTATGATTTGGTTAAAATATCTTTCAACCGAAACTGCTACTGCATGGCTCTTATGTTGAAATATCTGTCCGTCAAGTGTCCTAATATATATGACAGCAAAGATTCAGATGTTCCTTACTCATAGATCCACCTTTTTTTTACACAAAAGGTTCAAATCTCCACTACCAATGGCCACACTCATCAAAATGTTATGAGACTACGGAGAAGCCATTCCTGATGCATGCTTCAAATAAATGCCACTAAAAGTGCCCGAAGGCATCCACGTGAAAGGTACCATTGTCAAAGAAAGAAGTCTAGTATCCTGAGGAAGTGAGATGCCCATTTGTGCAAGGAACAGAAACTCAGATCTGCAGACTATTTCCTGGGCATCCCTAAGGGGCACAGCCCTTAATGAGAGGATGGCTCAGTATATGGACATGAGGTTAAGTAGTCAATGTGCAGGATGTGATGACTCCTTGTGTGAGCCCAGTACCAGATTACCACTATGCCCATGCTCTGCCCCTGCCTTCTCTAGAGGGTCGACCAGTCTGCAGGCGGTTGCCTTGGACGGAGTCCTCTAGGGACAACACCTGTGTATCTCTGGGATGATGATGTTATTACACATATGATGCCACAGGTGTCTGGGGACTAAACGAGAAAGGAACCCGGAAAACAAAAGAAGTCAGATGTGTTGGCTGAACAGTGCAAATAACACAGGTACGCTGTAAACAGGCACAATGCATCTGGGTCACTCGTACGAATGATGAAGAAGAAGAACAATATTTCATACTCTAATGTCCCTTTCTACCCTTTTCTTGTGCAGACAAAAGCCCAAGCGATACCTAACCAAGGAGTGTGGGATATGAGAGGCAAACAGTTTTACCAAGGCATCGAGATTCGCCTATGGGCCCTGGCTTGCTTTGCTCCACAGGCGACCGTCAGAGAAGATACTCTAAAGTAAGAGATACATACATCCTGTGAGAAATCGAGGAATGCATGAGTTAACTATTTTTTTTAATAATGTTAAGAGTTTGGATAAATTATTCTTCTTTGTTTGTGTTCCCTTTTAACCCTTTTTAGACCTGACGCCCTGAACCTAACTGTCCCTATAACCTGAGCTCCTGGGCACTAACATGCAAAAAACCAACATGATGTACACAAAAATTAGTTACATGCAAACAAGTGGTTAGAATAAGATAAAACTTGGAGACATTGTAGAAAATAGGTTTACCTTTCATCTAGCGCCAATCTTCCCCCTTTTGTGTGCCAATCCACCTAGTAGGATCAGTCTTGATTCACAAAGTAAGCACCAGATGTTGCTGTTTATCGATCTATCGATCTAGTTTTAAATCTGTAATTTTCATAATTCTCCTCCTCACTCTAGCTCTCACTGACTGTGTCACTTCAAATGGGAACATATTCTTTATGAACGTATTCACAGTCTGAATTAATCAAAGTATCGATCAACTGTTGGACTGTGATAAGCCTAGACCTAAGTCACTTTCTTGTCAAAGCCGCTCGTTTCATTGAGAATTTTCCGAATTTTTTTCACATCAAACCACACAAAGAAATCTCAACACACGTCGGATGTCATTCGCAACGACTAGCAACGAAATCTGATGGCGATTGGCTGGTTATTTTTAGTCTGTGACGCATATTTGTCACGTACTACTTAAATTCCCGGAAAAGTGGGCCAGCGGTTTAGCGGCTGATTAAGAAATTCCCGGAAAATCGGGCCAGCGGTCTGGTAGGGTTAAGTTGGTCTAACAGAGCTGTTGACCTCTCTCAGAAATTGTTGTGTAAAGGGGGGGGGTGCTCATCAGGGCTTTTTTCCTTGTACACAGTGGAATCAAGTTATGGGGCAGTTAACAACATTGCTTCTGATGCATAGAGTGCCAAACATGGACCCTTACTACAACTAATGAGCAGAAGATTGTAACAACAGAGATAAGGTGTCTTAGGAGAACTGCCGGTGTGACAAGAAGAGATAAAATCAAGAATGAAGAAATTATAAGAGAGAGAAAGGGAGGGAGGGGGAGAGAGAGAGAGTGTGTGTAATCAGCAAACATGATCAGAGTGAAGCACTAAATGAAATACATCCTCTAGGCTACAAAATATGTGTCTGGTGACTCATGCTGTGACTCTATGACATTTATCACTGGGGCTTACGGACAAATTTGTCATCAATTTGGTGTCAAAAATCTATTTGTTTTGAAGAAAAATGTCCCTAAATACTATTTGTAGTTAATATATTCACATCCTGACCTTCTAAATGTTTGTGCAGATGTGAACAGAACCTAGAGCATTAACTATACCTCTCGGAAACTGGTCACTATAGATAAGTCGGAAAAGTTACATTTATTGGGAATTGACTCAAGCAGGATGTGTCTGTTTACGACTTCTCAAGACGGTGGGGTAAAAGTGGGTAAGTGATCTTGGAGTCAGCCTAAGCTCGGTATAAAGATGTGTTCACTTACCCCCTTCTTACACCACCATAACCTAGCATATGTGAAGTTCTCATATTGTACACTGGTATGGAATTCTCTGCCACATGATGACAAGCACCTGTGTTTGTGTTTCAGGAGTTTCACCAATGTTTGTGTTTCAGGAGTTTCACCAATGTTTGTTTTTCAGGAGTTTCACCAATGTTTGTGTTTCAGGAGTTTCACCAATGTTTGTGTTTCAAGAGTTTCACCAATGTTTGTGTTTCAGGAGTTTCACCAATGTTTGTGTTTCAGGAGTTTCACCAATGTTTGTGTTTCAGGAGTTTCACCAAGCAGCTTCAGCAGATCTCCACTGATGCTGGGATGCCCATCATGGGTCAGCCTTGCTTCTGTAAATATGCCACTGGCCTGGACCAGGTAGAGCCCATGTTCAGGTACCTGAAAAACACCTACCAGGGACTGCAGCTTATCATTGTTGTCCTGCCCGGCAAGACTCCTATTTATGGTCAGTGTTTTGGGTGTGTGTGTGAAAACATTTTTTTTTCCTGCTCTTTAAAAGATGGTTGGGATGTTGTATTGTTGATTACAGCTACGCTGCAGCATCTTTGCCAGCACATTTGATTTCAACAAAACTCTCGATTAGTCACCTTTTATGTTATTTGTGTGAAGAGACATTTTGTTCTCCCCCCTACACACACAACATGCATGCATGTGCGTGTGCACACACACACATATCAGGCCCCATAGATAAAGAACAACAACATGAAATCAGATATTTAGATGAGTGGATAACACTGGGTTGAGTTTAGTCAAAAATAGACATCACAGCAGTTAAGGCATTCATATGTGTGCTCAGTCCTCATCTTCAGCAGCCAGCGCAGAGTTTGAATACTGATGGTACCGGTCACAATCTGGTTATATGTCCGTCTTGCCTTTCCTCTGAGTGTAGTGAGCCGGCCATACCCCCTGGTTACACTCCAGGTGTCTCATTCTCTCCAGGTCATAATAATCTTATTTCTCCACTACAGTAAACATCCACAAGACCCCATCAGCAGACTCAACAGAAAGCAACATACAACAATTTTCCGTCTACGAACAGGACACTGCAGGCTTAACTACCACATGCATAAAATATTGTACAGTCCCCACAGTGTGCCTGTCAGACAGGACCCCAAACACCTCAGCACATTCTGCAGACCTGCCCACTCCACCTGCAACTTCGAAAAGACACCTGGCCTCAAGAGCAGAGTGTGCAGAGCAAGCAATGGGGAACCATGCAGGACCTGCAGCTGACATGCGAGTTCATAGATAGTTCACCGAACGTGAAGAAGAAGAAGATTTCTCTATTGATTTCGTTGTTTGTTCCTAAAGGGCCTTGACCATATCTGCCTTGTCGTGTATTAATTCACCACCCAGTGGTGCAGATCCAGCATATCTGTCTGCCTATTCATTACCCACCACGCCAGCATAGCCTGGAGAAAAGATCCGAAGTATGCTCACTACCCTTGACATTTCCAGTGAAGCAATGTGATAACCCTACTCAGGTCAGACTTTTCCTCTGGTACTCTGACCCACTCTTCTCCATGCCCAGTGTTCTCCAGCATGCATACTTGTCTTATTGTGCCTTGTGCTTGAGCCATCCATGATTTTCCTCTTTTCAGCCTCTGACCCTTTCCTTCAGTCAAAGCTTTATACAGACAGTGTTCTTTGTTTGCAGCTACTTTGAGGTATGACTTAGCCTGCATCATCTTTAGCCTATCTGCAGTAGTCGACAATGCAAGGATGTATCGCATGCACCCAATCGGGGTGTCTCTTTGTACATCCCAGGATCACCCGCATAGCTTCATTCTGTACGCGCTCCAGTTTCTTTAGCTGACTCTTGGCGACAGTGAGTAACAATTCATAATCAATCACTGAGATGATAAAGTGCATTCTCTGCTCCATGTACATCGCTGCCATATTCTTAAGGGCATTAAGAACTTTTTGAGCCTTTGTCACAACCCCCTCAATGTGATCCTTAAAAGACAAACTTTTGTCAAAGCTGATTCCCAGGTACCGCAGTCTGCTGTCTCTTTTGATGTCCCTGTCATTTATTTTGAGTCTGGAAACATCAGTTCTAACAATCCTGTTGTCCAAAGTGCACCACAGGATGGTTGCCTTTTCTGGGTTGATTACAGCACTCATCTCTGTACACCAGTCGATCACCTTATCTACTGTCGCCTGTAACTCTTCAGCTCTTTGATTCTGATCCCTCCCGTTCCTATATATATGAGAACATCATCTGCGAATGTCAATATTCTACCAACTCCTGGTGTTTCCAGGTTTGCAATCTTGCTCGTAAAAATTGAACAGTACAGGTGAAATTGCAGATCCCTGTGGTAGTCCTGGAGCTAATATACATGGTTCAGAGGTCCATGAACCCAGGCGGAGAGCTACCCAGCGAGTGTATAAAACTGTTGCTATCCAGTTCACTAACCAAGGACAGACTCCCTTCTCCATAAGCGTCCTTATCAAGATACTGTATCTGACTGTTGTAAGCATCTTCTAAATTGAGTGCCGCTGCCACCGTTTCCTGCCTCATCTGGAAACCTTCGAAGGTGTCAAAGGCAAAAGTTGCTGCATTGACCTTGTGTCCTTCCCTAGTCGGTAACTTCCTAATCCTCATGGAATCCTCTGTTCCAAAAATTCTTGTAGCTTACCTGCCACTATCTTCTCCAGCACTTTACGAAGGTGTTTTGTAGGGTTATGATCCTAAAGCCGCTGAGTGTTGAATGATTCTTGCTAGGCTTAGGAAGTGGACTCAGGTAGCTGTGCATCCACTCTTCTGGGACTGAAGCTGTTCTAATGCTCTGGTTGAAACAAGCAGTCATCTCCACCAGGTCTGCATCACTCATGTATTTCATATGGGAATATCTAACCCCAGGTGCAGTGTCTTTCGCCATTTTTAGAACAAATTTTACATCTTCCACCTGTATGATGTCTTTATAATGTTTGTTCTTCAAGATGGCTGCCAGATCTTCTCTAACTGGATCTCTGTTATCTCCATCATTGTGGTCCGTCTGTGAAATGAACCTGTTAAGGAAAGCCTCCCCCTTCTCTTTTCTGTAGTTAATAGCAAACCGTCATCATCCACAGTCCTGTCCCATTCATTGTTCCGTGCATTAAAATCCCTACAAATGAGGAGCCTGTTGCCAGGGATCGCCTCCAGGTCTTTCAGCCAGTCCCACTGTTGCTTTGTAACTAAAGAGCAGCATATACATTTATTATAACATTGGATGAGGGAGGCAACATAGACGAAAGGAAAATAATAGGAAAAGCAAGATCCCTGTGTGGTTTCAAGGGTCCCATGGGGAGGGGGGAGATAGACCCATCGCCCCCTAACCAGCATGCGATAAAAGGGGACTTATTAGGAGTTCGCTGAAATCGGGTGTGTTGGGCGGAAAGGTGCAGACATCAGAGCTTGTCTGTAAACCACAACACAATGCACCAACTGGCTTTTTCATGGCAAAGGGAGAAAAAGATAGGCAAAAACTACATTTTATAGAATACAACAAAAGTTCTCATTATTGCATGTAAGAAAGAAGTGACCATAATTTTATGGCCACATTACCAGACTGGTATATTTAGTAATAATCTTTAATGGAAAAGAGATAAAAAAAGACAGAGAGATAATTCTTGACAGTTGTCTAAACAGTGTCATGGGAAAAATCAGCACATTAATGGATACATTCTCTTTTGAGATGGCAGCCATCTAGAAGCATAGTTATCAATGTCACTTGACAGGACACTTGATGATGATGTGAATATAAAATTTGTGATAAATATTAAATGTTTATTATATTAGGGTGGTAAAGTTGCTAAAATGAAGTCTACAAATCCACACAAGAACAGACCTTTCATTACAAGAGACAGATCTTTCAAGTACAAAGGACAGACCTTTCATTACAAAAGACAGACCTTTTAGTGCAAGAGGCAAGTCTTCCATTAAAAGGGACAAATCTTTCAGTGCAAGGGACAGACATTTCAGTGCAAGGGACAGACATTTCACTGCAAGGGACAGACCTTTCAGTACAAGGGACAAACCTTTCAGTGCAGGGGATGGACATTTCACAGACCTTTCAGTACAAGGGACAGACCTTTTGTACAAGGGACAGACCTTTCAGTGCAGGGGACAGACCTTTCAGTGCAGGAGACAGACCTTTCAGTACAAGGGAACCTCCTCGTGTAGGTTCCGGGGCCCTGTTAAGGGAAATCAAGAATAGACCCACTGCCTACCCAAAAGCATGTCGTAAGAGTCGACTAATTGGGAGCTTCCTTCAAAGTCGAAGTGCATTTGCCTGAGAGGCAAGGAACCAGTAGTCTGCATACAAATAAGTCAGATCTGTAAAACAGATGCACATGCAACACTCAGGTTTTGGAACAGGACTGCAGTCCAGAAGTGGATGAACAGCCATAACTTTCTGCCAGAGTTTACAGCTGGTGAACGCGAAGAAGAAGAAGTACAAGGGACAGACCTTTTAGTGCAAGGGACAGACCTTTCAATGCAAGGGGCAGGCCTTTCTGTGCAAGGGACAAAACTTTCAGAACGACAAACCTTTCACTGCAAAGGACAGACCATTCAGCAAGGGAAGATTTCAGCAAATTCCTAGAAACAGTGGAAGCTAAACCATTTTATTTATTGGTAGGCGGCCCAGTTGTTAACATTAAACAAGTTGTTAACATTAAACAAGTTGTTGACATTAAACAAGTTGTTGACATTAAACAAGTTGTTAACTATTGTAAATGTCCACAGCTGAAGTGAAGAGAGTTGGCGACATCTGCTTTGGCCTGGCCACCCAGTGCGTGCAGTCGAAAAATGTGAACAATTTGAACAAAAACAGCCTGCAGACTCTGTCCAACCTCTGCCTGAAGATCAACGTCAAGCTGGGCGGTGTCAACAACATCTTGCTTCCCAGCATTAGGTCAGCCTGCTACTTTCATATGGTGTGCCTGTCTTTGTGTTGCTTTAGTATGTTTGCCTTAGCTAGTTAGATGACAGATTATCCTCACTGCACATCAAAGCATTCAGTCAATAAGTGCTCTGATGACCTCCTCAGTATATCCCACAGCATGTAGCGGCTGAGGACACCTGTTCTGTTTTGTTTTCTTATTTATCTTTAGCTTCCTGCATAGTGCTCTTGTCTGGCCACACCCGTTTTAACATGTTCTTGCAGTCTGGTCATGGTGTTTCTTTGATTGTTTTTATTTGGTTTTCCCGTCTTTGTGTTGCTTTCATGTTTTCCTTGATTACTTTTATTTGGTTGGTTTGCCTGTCTTTAGTTTGCTTTCTTGTGTTTTAATGAATGCTTAGATTTGGTTGTGTTGCTTCTATGTGTTTACATGATTGCTTTTATGAGTTTTGCCTACCATTCTGTTTTCATGCATTCCCCTTATTGCTTTCATTTGGTTTGGCTGCCATTGTGTTGCCTTCATGTATTTCCATGATGCTTATTTCCTCATTTGCCTACTATCGTGTATTTCCATCATTACTTTTATTTATTGTTCATAGCATTTTTACTTTCATTACTTTCAGTATATAACAGCAACACTGAAAAAAAAATCCATACCAGTTGCTAGGCATTGAACTGAACAAGTCCAGATGCAGGTCTTGAAAGATGTTGAGTATATGGTAACACTATGTTTGATAGACCATGACATTCATTCTATGGATGTTCAGTATCTTGCCAGCTGCCCTTGTGGGTTCCAGGCCCCATTGGGGGAAAACAAGAATAGACCCTCTGCCTGCCATAAGAGTCAAATTAGAGGTTTCTTTCAAAGCCAGAGTGCATCTGTTAAAAGGAACTAAGAGGAACGACTAGAACTTTCGACCAGAGTTTACAGCTGGTGAACACGAACAACAAGAAGAAAGATCCTCCCAGCTGCCTTTACTTTGCAGAAATATGACTGGTACCAGTTTTAAACTGGTTTGGCCTAGAAGCCAAGGAAAATTCTTATAAAATCTACCTTGATAGAGATTCAGCTCTGCATATACTGGGTCCTGAGGCAAGTGTATTAGCCGCTGTACTACCACAGCTCATGTCAAGTGCTGGGTCTTCTCACCTGTCATAGGCCACCCCTTATAAAGTAGGCTTGTCAGTTCCCCCTTTCCTGATATTTCTGAAAATGATCTGGTACCCAGTCGTTATAAAGCTGTCAAAAATAGAGCCATACTGGTTACAACAAATTTCCTCCTTTACCGAGCTTTGAACTTAGACCACTCTCATGACAGGCAAGCAGCCAGAATTAAAATATAAATGTTTGTTTCAGACCGCATGTGTTTCATGAACCGGTGATATTCCTGGGTGCTGATGTGACACACCCACCAGCTGGTGACACCCAGAAACCATCCATTGCTGCTGTGAGTGTTGTTCTCTTTGCTGCTCTTGTTGAACAGTAATTTAGTGAATGGCTGAGTATCCCACGTTTCTCTCTGTCTGATGCATAAAGACTGTGTTGTTATGGTCTAGGGCAGTGGTCCTCAACCTTTCTAATGCCCCAGCCCTTTTATACAGTTCCTTATGTTGTGATGACCCTTTAATACAGTTCCTCATGTTGTGGTGACCCTTTAATACAGTTCCTTATGTTGTGACGACCCTTTAATACAGTTCCTCATGTTGTGGCGACCCTTTAATACAGTTCCTTATGTTGTGGCGACCCTTTAATTCAGTTCCTCATGTTGTGACGACCCTTTAATACACTTCCTCATGTTGTGGCGACCCTTTAATACAGTTCCTTATGTTGTGGCGACCCTTTAATTCAGTTCCTTATGTTCTGGCGACCCTTTAATACAGTTCCTTATGTTGTGGTGACCCTTTAATACAGTTCCTCATGTTGTGGCGACCCTTTAATACAGTTCCCTATGTTGTGGTGACCCTTTAATACAGTTCCTCATGTTGTGGTGACCCTTTAATACCATTCCTCGTGTTGTGGCGACCCTTTAATACAGATCCTCATGTTGTGGCAACCCTTTAATACAGTTCTAAGAAATGTATCATATGTTAATTTATAACTAATTTAATTTACCTCTAGAACCCGAAGAGTTAAATTATGCAATATGTTTGTGTCCTCATTATTGAAACTAGTATTCCACATTTTGTTACAATTGCCAAACAAAATCAGGGCCCTATTTTGAGAATAAACAAGAATTGTTATTATGTATTCTGTGCAAGAGGAAGACAGTGTTACAGTTGGGTAGACAACATCAAGAGATGCACATGAAGAAGCAGCGCAAATCAGCAAGAAGATGCAGAGTAGAAAGTGTCGAGACTGATTTTGGCAGCAATGCAACCTTTTCTGGCAAATGAGTCTCTTCCCTGGCAGGCAGGCTATGCTAAGTTGAGCAGATATTTCCTGCATCAGTTGAATATTAGCACACATCATGTAATAGATCCTTTATAGAATGTGCTGTCATCATGGGTATGCCAGAAAGTCCCTCTCCTGCCTGGTGAACTGCCCACAGTTTGGTTGGTATCCTGTGTTGACCCTCTTGCTGGTCAACCCCTGCCTCCTGTTCGAGGAACCATACCTTCCTTTTAATATAAGCAGAGTATTTCAGTTTTTGATAGGTGATAATGTTTATGAGCCAGTCCCTGTCAGTATTCAGATCGTGGAAAAATACGGCATTCTTCCGGAAATGAATTATGTCTGGAATAAAGAGAGAGTACTTGCCTTGGGCTTGATACCTTTTTCTGTAGACAACAAAGAGAGAGAGAGAGAGAGAGAGAGAGAGAGAAAATGAACAAACGAACAAATTTTATTTTGTGGGGGGGAGAGAGTGGGAAAGAATGGAAATGGATGGTATCCATATTTGATGATACACCGTCGGCAGTGAGTGAGCATAGGAAATGAGTGCTATTCATGGCGTAGGGGGCAAGATAGGTAGAGTTTTAGTAAGAATGTCAAGGACGGGGGGGCTGAGTTGTCTTGAGGCATGGAGTCCGCCTCGAGTGCTGGAGGTCTTGGCATTTTTTAATGTGCACCTGTAATTTCCCCTGGTCTCTTGGTAGTAAGATCAGACACCTGTGTGTATTGTTATGCACGTAAAAATTCCCTTGGCGGTTGAAAATCGGAAAGAGTAGCCTAACTCACTTCCTGTGCACAATTTTGAGTTTAAAATCTGCCCAAAATTATTTGAGGATGCTCACTGGTGCTATGGAGTTCATGCACTGCGCTGAGATTCTTTGGACTAAGCCTTGAGTTAGAAGTAGAAGGGAGCACTTATGGGTTACTACCCTTGTGCCATGATGTTGATCCTTTGTTCAAACCTTAAAACCGTCAGAATATGATTGGCCACTGAAGAAGTAGGTGAAACACGTGTTGGAAATATTGTTGTGTTGTTAGAGAGACAAAACAATTCAAATAAGAAAACTTACCTGCTGCTTCTGTGATTCTGAATGAATTAGTTGGTTCTCACCTTCAGCCATCCTGTTGTTGCTGTTGGCACAGAACAGATGGCTGTGATGGCCTTCAGTAATGTCATTTCTTTAATCATTCGTGGCGGCATTTATTCAGCAGGGAAGCACCCAGTTGGGTTCTGAATCCCTTTTTGAGGTGGAGAAAAGAATTGCCCCGTGCCCTCTAACAATCATATTGTAAAAGGTGACTAATTAAAACTTTGGTGAAATGGAATATGTTGGGCTGTAAGATGTTAAAGGCAAACTTTAAAGGGTGGATTCAGAAGAATAAGAACTATTCATTCATGCATTTATTCAGTGAGCAAGGACACTTAATGATGATGCTATTGTCACTGATCTTTATATTTATGAGGTTGACAAAAGTGTTATCCGACATTATTCACTGCCAGGTTGTTGGCAGCATGGACGCCCATCCCAGCCGTTACTCTGCCACAGTTCGAATACAGGACCATCGGCAGGAAGTTATTCATGACCTTTCTGCCATGGTGAAGGAGTTACTGATCCAGTTCTATAGAACGACAAGTTTCAAACCCACCAGGATTATCTTCTACCGTGGGGGAGCTAGTGAAGGACAGTTTAGTACAGTAAGTAGAACTGTGTGTTGTCTTAGTGAAGGACAGTTTAGTACAGTAAGTAGAACTGTGTGTTGTCTTAGTGAAGGACAGTTTAGTACAGTAAGTAGAACTGTGTTGTGTTAGTGGAGGACAGTTTAGTACCATAAGTAGAACTGTGTGTTGTGATAGTGAAGGACAGTTTAGTACAGTAAGTAGAACTGTGTTGTGTTAGTGGAGGACAGTTTAGTACAGTAAGTAGAACTGTGTTGTGTTAGTGGAGGACAGTTTAGTACCGTAAGTAGAACTGTGTGTTGTGATAGTGAAGGGCAGTTTAGTACCGTAAGTAAAACTGTGTGTTGTGTTAGTGAAGACAGTTAAGTACAGTAAGTAGAATTGTGTGTTGTGTTAGTGAAGGACAGTTTAATGCAATAAGTAGAACTATGTGACTGTGTTGTGTTAGTGAAGGACAGTTTAGTACCGTAAGTAGAACTGTGTGTTGTATTAGTAAAGGACAGTTTAGTACAGTAAGTAGAACTGTGTGTTGTATTAGTAAAGGACAGTTTAGTACCGTAAGTGGAACTGTGTGTTGTATTAGTAAAGGACAGTTTAATGTAATAAGTAGAACTATGTGAGTGTGTTGTGTTAGAGAAGGACAGTTAAGTACCGTAAGTGGAACTGTGTGTTGTGTTAGTGAAGGACATTAGTACAGTAAGTAGAATTATGTGTTCTGTTGGTGAAGGACAGTTTAGTACAGTAAGTAGAACTGTGTTGTGTTAGTGAAGGACAGATTAGTACCGAAAGTAGAACTGTGTTGTGTTAGTGAAGGACAGTTTAGTACAGTAAGTAGAACTGTTTGCTGTGTTAGTGAAGGACAGTTTAGTACAGTCAATAGAACTGTGGGTTCTTTTAGTGAAAGACATTTAGTACAGTACGTAGATTTTTGTGTTATTTTAGTGAAATATATTTAGTACAGTAAGTCATCACTGTCATCATCATCATCAGTTGCATTGCTGACTGGTGTAGGCGATCATACACTCAGATTGTGTGCTGACACTTTTCCATTCCTTGGCCCTAAAATATTCCTGTCAAGAATTGATCATGTTATTTCTTAAACTCTCCATAACTGTTCAGATTATCTTTGAGTCTTTTTCTATGACAACAGGTTCTGGGCTATGAGCTGCGTGCTATCCGTGAGTGTTGCATGAAGCTGGAAGTGGACTACCAGCCTGGCATCACCTTCATTGTGGTTCAGAAGCGCCATCACACCCGTCTGTTCTGTGCCAACAGCAACGACCGGACAGGTAAAGGTGAGAATATCCCTGCTGGGACAGCCGTAGACCAGGGCATCACACACCCCAGAGAGTTTGACTTCTTCCTCTGCTCTCATGCTGGAGTTCAGGTAACTTAGGACTTTTTGTGGTGTAATGTTGGTACAAGTGTGTGTAACAGTTAGGCCATTGGATGTGGGTACAGGCGTATGTAAAAACATGAAGAACACAGGAGTTCAGTATAACACTCAATGTATTGGTTGGAGTTAAGGGGGAGAAATTAGAAGGAATGATAAGGAAAAAGAGAGAGATACAAAAATGGGGATAATAGAGATTAAAGATTACAGAAAAAAAAAATAGGAACAGATAAATGAAGAGAAAAATATAAGAGATGAAATGGGTAATAAAAGAGGATGAAAGAATGGGGATGGTAAAGATCTGGAAGGATAAATTGACAAAGGAAGGGATTGAAAAGGCAAGAGGGAAAAGAGAAAAGAGTGAGTGAAAAAAAAATAAGGCAAGGTATAACAGTAATATCATGAAGGGGCTTTTCATGAGTGAGCACTAAAAGAAAAGAGGTGAAAGATGGCTGAGAGAAAAATAAATTTAAAGATAGGGAAAGAAATTGTGAACGCACCCTTTTGTGTTGCCCAGCTTTCAGATATCTATGCTGCCAGATTTAGAGGGATGATTAAAGAAGTATCTAAGCACAAATGAAATTGCATGATTTCCTTTCCCTCAATGGAGCTCTCTGGTCATATTTTGTTTTGTGCATTCTTATTTCTGTTCTCATGTGGGTTGTTGGGGGAAGGGGGAGGGGAAAAATATATCAACTGCCCCTTAATTAGCATGTTGTACAAGGTAACTAAATAAGGATTAAAACCCCCTCCCCCACAAAGAAAAACGCACACATTGCAGTTTAGCTGTTAACTATAGCACAGCATGGCAGCTACTGTTTTGAGGGCAAACACAAAAGAAGAGGAGAGGAGAAAGCAGTTATTTTTTTTATTTCAGATTGACTGCAGTTTTTTTTTTTTAATTCTAAGAGGCTGCAGATCTAAACAAAGAAATGATTGCACTTCTGTTTGGTTTTTTTTCTCACCCCCTCCACTACACAACTGTGTTTGAACGTTCCCTTCTGACAGTTTATTTCCATTGAACTATCCATCTCTGCAGGGTACCAGCCGTCCGTCTCATTACCATGTGCTCTGGGATGACAACCACTTTAAAGCCGATGAACTTCAGATCCTCACATATCAGCTCTGCCACACGTACGTGCGCTGTACCCGCTCTGTCTCCATTCCAGCTCCTGCCTTTTATGCCCACCTTGTGGCATTCAGAGCCCGATACCACCTGGTGGATAAAGAGCACGACAGGTGAGTGGCTGTTAACTCCCCCACATATTTTATAACAGAAATGATGCAGAACTAACCACAATGAATAAGTGAATCAAGAATTGATATCATGGCACTCAGGACATTTTCATAGATGCTTTATCCCCTTCCTTCTTCTTCTTCTTCTTCTTCACTTCCTCTTTTACCGCTGTGGGTGTCGAGGGAGATATAAGGTTCTGTTTCTAGCTCTTCTGGCTGCCTCGACCATAGGCACATCGTGCTGTTGTAGAGTTTCTTTATCTTGTTCTTGGTCTACCCCGTGCTCTACGTCCTTCTTCTCTTTCCATGTATGCTTTGTATGGTATGGTGTCACAAGGCATTCTCTCTAAGTGGGCCAGGACGTTTCGGGGTGACCCAGGGTGGCCTTCATGGCTACCGTAGCGGTCCCGTGGCACGAGGCCACACCATACTTCGCCCACACCTAGCAATCCCCTACTTTGTCCTGTTACCACCTCTCACGACGAGGACGTTGGGTTGGCCTTTGAGAGGTTCCCCTTCCTTAGCAGCCAGAAATGAGTTTCCATATTGGTGGTGATAGGAGCCATCTGATTGAACGTACACTTGTAAACAACAATGAAGAAAAATACTGGATTCTTTCCTTTTATTTAATTCATCCCATCTCGGGGAATCCAAGATTTTTTTGGGGAGTACCCGGGAAAGTCCAATAGTATAGGGATGTTAGGGTGTGAAATGAGCACCGACTGACACTTAGAGCACCAAAAGAAAAGTACAAAATATGGATAGAAAAATACAACATATATTGTGATTTTCTGAGTGTGGGTTCCTGGGCCCCATTGTGGGGAAAACATGAACAGACCCACTGCCTCCCCAACATGCATGTTTTAATAGTTGACTAATTGGGTGCTTCCTTCGAAGTTGGAGTGCATCTCCCTGAGATGCAAGGAACTAACAATCTGCATACAAGTAAATCAGATCTGTGAAATGTAAATCAGATCTGTGTGGATGTGTGCGCAGCACTCAGGTTCTGAAACAAGACTAATTTCCACAAGTGGATGAAAAACCAGAACTTACTTTCTGCAGGGGTTTACAGCTGGTGAATGCAAAGAAGAAGAAGAAGAAGAAATTAGATATCTAACCAGATGTCTTAAAACCCCCATACAAGGGCAGTTGGCTTGTTGTAGTATAAATTTACTTTAAGCACTACATAGTTGTTTCCCCTTAAAGAAACGTAGAGAAATGAATGATCTTATAGCTTCAAGCTACATTGATCGCATAGTTTTTCAATGGTAGCGAGTGTCCAAAGTTTTGATCGCAGGCAGTTCGATTAAAGTAGCCATGTGTCAGCATGTGCCGACACATTACGTTGGATCATGTCAGTCAGTGGGTTAAATGGCAGGTGGCCTTGTTATGTTGTGGTTTACAGCTAGGCTGTGATATATGTAGCTTTAGCCCAACATCTAATTTCAGCTAAACCTTGATGTTGCCTTTATGACAGGCTTTTAAGGATGGCAGTGGGTTACTTCCTCTAAAGAAGTAAAGGGAGGCCAGCTCCCCCCCCTCCCCACAAAAAAAAAATGTGAAAAGAAAGGTAGACAGATGAAAAGCTGAAGAGATATAGTCAACCTCAAGAGGTGGTAATTTACCGTTTAAAAAACCACAAAATGCCACTTCTAAATGTCACTTTTATGACTTGCCTGTGCAAACGTTTATGAGGTCTGAAGGTGAAAATATTAACTAAAAATGGAAGTCAGGGGAGTTTTCCCTCACACCAAATGGTTTTTCAAAGCCAAGTTGATGTCAGATTTTTCCAGTAAGCATTTAATGCTCCCCTTTGTTCATGTTTAAACAAAATACATCCCTAACGGCTCAAAAAAAAAAAAAAAAAAAAAAAAAAAAAAAAAAAAAAAAAAAAAAACAAGTCTTGAGAGACTCATGTTGTGGAACCATGACCTCTACCATTGAGGCTTTTGAGAAAATCTAACATCAGCTTGGCTAAAAAAAAAGCCATTTAACTTAAAGGATACGCCCCTTCCCTTCCTCTGTGCTGTTGTTAGTTAATCTATTCATTTCCTGACCTCTTAAACATTTGTGCAAGCACACCTTTCTTAAATGGGTCACAAGTCAGAAAAGTAACATTTATGGGGAATTGGACTCAGCCGGAAGTGTCAGTTTTTTTTTTTTCTTTATCTTCTCAGGGTTAAAGGGTTAAGTTACTTTAAGATTTTCTGAAACACTTGAACAGAACAGACCAAGTCACAGTTTTTCGCTTACGCACTGGACACTGCAGACTCAATAAACACTCACATAAATTAGGTATGAGCCAAACAGCTCTCTGCCGGTGCCTTCGTGCTGAACAGACTCCAGAACATGTCCTGCAAGACTGTCCTCTCCTGGCGGAGCTGCGGAGCGACATATGGCAACACCCAGTAGAACTGACAACTAAGCTTTGGGGAAACCTAAGAGACCTTGAAAAGACATCCCAGTTTATGACCCACAGTGGATTATGCGCATGACCAGAGATCGCTGAAGAAGAAGATGAAGTTACTTCCCATTATTTCCCTTGAGTAATTTGTCTCTCACTTTCCCCAGCGGTGAGGGCAGCCGACACTCAGACAGCACAGATGACAGAAACTCTGTGAACCTAGCTCATGCGGTCACTGTACACCCGGACACCTGCAGGGTCATGTACTTTGCCTAG